TAACAAACAACCGCCAAACTACACACAAAAATATTTTTTTCTATTCCCGCCTGTAAAATACCTAATTACGCGCCGATCTAGCGTGCGGTCCGCGTCACTTTACCACGTCAGTTTCGTTTCCCACGAATCCGAGCCACTTCGGACATTTCCGGGATTTTACCGCACGGGTTTGGGAGCAATCGGATGTTTTCGGAGATATTTCCCACGCTTTGAATTTTGACGTTTGTCAATTCTGACAGTCATGTCAGTGAATGTATTCGTGTTTTCCGAAAATGTACGCAAAAACTAACGGTCGTAGAAAAAGTATAGTATGCAACACGTTCGGTAAACTTTTTAACTCACTCGTTTATTAAACACTCGCTCGTGTCAAATAAACTCTTGAGTCAAATGCAGCTGACCGCACTTGTTGCATAATATACTATTTTCTACTCCCGTCGGTAAAATACCTAATTACCCACCGATCTAGCGTGCGGGAAACGTCACTTTACCACGTCAGTTTCGTTTCCCATGAATCCGATCCACTTTTACCGCACAAATTTGGGAGCAATCGAATGTTTTCGCAGATATTTCCCACGCCTTGAATTTTAACGTTTGTCAATTCTGACGGTCATGTCAGAGAATGTGTTCATGTTGTTTTGCGAAAATGTACCCAAAAACTAACTGTCGTAGAAAAAGTATAGTATGTAACACGTTCGGTAAACTTTTAAGTCACTCGTTTATTAAACACTCACTCAGCTGGCGTCAGATAAACTCGTAACTCAAATGCCGTTTACCACACATGTCGCATAATATACTATTAAAAAACTGGATTTTCTAGTAAATGTGGGAAACAGAGGCGCTGAACTTAAGAACACTTCATAAGTCATTCATAAAATTGTTGTTTCCTAATTGCTATGGTAATCACGTAGGGTTAATCAATGTCGTGTGAGATTATAATGTATCAATATCAATTTTTTCATAGTTATATAATATATATAAACAAACTTAACACACTTTTAAAGATAATGCAAATTACATCCGATACCTTTGAGGGTGCTTTGGAAATCTTTGAGAGAACATACACAAAAAAGACACAATATACGCAATACGCAAATACACAAAAAAGAAAATAAGTAGATCCTACTATGAAACAGGACGTACACGTGAAATTGGATTTCGGAATTCAAACCGCCAAGTTATTTGCAAACTTCACAGTATTGCGACATTTTTGCTATCAGTCTTTGTAATAGCAATATCCAAAAACACCTTTTTCTACTCCCTTCTGTTAAATTCCTAATTATACACCGATCTAGCATGCAGAAAGCATCACTTTGCCACGTGAGTTTCTTGTCCCGCGGATGGAAACCCCTTCAGCCATTTCCGCGATATTACCGCACGGGTTTGGAAGCAGAGATTTTACCGCACGGGTTGAATTATGACGCTTGTCAATTCTCGTGCCAAATAATAATAATTTCACTGTGGAAAAGTCGTTACAACACGCACCTGAAATCATGGTTATAACCTTACATTTGCGTTGTCATGTTAAAAAAAGATATTTTCTTAGGCCTAGTACAGACCTCGAATCAAAATATGGAAACTTTTTCTAAACTTTTTCAACTATTTTTAAATGTATTTAAAACGCTTTTGAAATAACTTTGAAACATTGTTTCGTGTTTACACCATAGAAAATGTCGAACGGAAACCGCAGGAATTTGTGCGAGTTATATGTATTTTACTTGTAAGGCAAAAAAAACCTAGACGTTGGCGACAGAAGGTTTCTATTGCGGGCAAAATTGAATGGCAAATTTAAAACTGGAAGATGGTAGTGACGAAATTTTCTTCGGATGACGCCATCTAATTTTGAGGAATTTCTGAAAATGATCTTCAATAGTACCAGAAACAAGAAATAAACACGTCCGTTTCCGAAAAACGTCCGGACTTGCAAACTTTGTGTCATGTTTTTATTTAACATTTAAAACTTGTCGAAACTGTTAACTCAATGTCTTGAAACACTACTGAAACAAATCGTAAATATTTCCGAAAGGTTTCAAAAATGGTTTTAAAAATTGCTTCTAAGCAAAAATTTTCTAGGTATATTGTTAAAAAAACAACTATTTGTTATTTCGTGGGTAACGTTTAATGAAGTATTAGCATATTTTAAATACATAAAAATATTATTCGGTATACACTGGCACTCAGACCGTCAATATATTTGCATCATATTAGAGTTCTCTAAACGATATATCGTTTTTAAGACATAATTTATTTAATGTTTTAAATTTTTATGAAGTTCTAACCTCAGACCTGGTTCGCTTCTTCTCTTTGTAACCCTCAATAAATAGATTCGCAATTCCACAATGACGTTCCAGAACCGTACTTCGGTACTTCGTACATATAAATGCTGAAAGCTGAAGGTAAGATTCCTCGATTATGCAGTGAAAAATCAAATTCAAAAAATACTGTTTCATAAAACCGACAGCATACTCCGACTTCACCAACCCCCACAAACCAACCAATAGGAAACTGGAAATCATCCATTACAAATCAATTATCTACATAAAATTTTGTATTTTAAATGTTAAACCCTTAAATTGCAAATCAGTTTAAGCTTTCCAATGTGTTTTTAATCAACATATCTAATGGGCAAATTCTACTTGAAGTCGAGCTACCTCAAGTATGGACTGTTTTAGGAAGATTTATAAAAAGCACACTAATATGAATTAATATAACATCTCAAATACGGCCCTGGCTTGTGGTACACTTGCTGAAAAAAATGGTCGCTTCTGCTTTACAGCAGGCGGGTGTTAAACTTATTCCGAAATCATAACCATAAAATGTTGTAAAAACGGTATATCGTTCCGATAACTCCAACATTGCTTGCTTATATATCTCTGATCTGAACTGCATTCACCAGCGACACAATGAGTGAGCTACCGGATTAACTCATTTTCTGACGCTGGGTAGAGGAAAATTTTATTTAACCTTACTTTCGATTCAACTTTTTTTTTCGAGTAATTGTTCATTCTACCCCAATATGACACAAACCAAACAGGTACATACATAAAACCATACAATATAAAGTAATTTATTTTAATATAAATAAATATCCGATATTCATCACGTCTTTTTTCAGCTGATCCTTGCTAACACAGAAAAAGAGAGAAACATATATATAGGTCGTAACTCAATTTGTTCAATTTTTTAAATAAAGTGCTATTGCGATTATTCTTTTTAATTATTCTCTTTTTATTACTTTTGTGGTATGTGTTTATGATACTGACAGAAGCACGTTCTTCACCTTTGTTCTAGAGGTTTTGATTTAGCGCCAGTTTAACGATTAACAAATAAACAAAGAACTGCTTTTTATGTTCATACAGTTAAATTTTAATTTAAGTTAATTGTAAAATAATTTTTTATCAGACGAGGAACACCTTTATGGGATGCTGTAAAACAATAAATAACGAACCAGTAAAAAAACAATTACGCCGAGAGCACTAGGCGTGACGACGTATTCTCTTTATGAGAAGAGAATGTTTGCTTTTATTAACGAGTGAGAAAATGCGGAAAATTTTATGCACTGCAGAATGCGAGTTTTATATTGAAATTAACAAAAGGTCGTGCATTTAGAATTCAAAGCCCACAATCTCTTATTGTAGAACTTCTGGATCATTAGTTTTCAAGACGTCGCACTCGCGTCGCTGCCAAGGCAAACACCAAATATATTAGTTAAATATTTAGAATATTTGTTGGAGACATTTTCATTTAATTCGTTGGTGATTTAAATATTCATTTACTCAATACGATAATCTTAAATTTCTAATTAACAGCAGCTCATCCTGTCAAATATGTTGTTTGTTCGTTAATTAAGAAAAGTTAAACAATTTTCTAGTTTTATTCATCCGCAACCCGGAATATTGCCAACAGATTATACACGGATACATGGAAAAATAACATCTTTTTAAATTATTAGCATATTAAACGAGTTGTCCCAAAAGTGCAAATTAAATCAAAATTGGCTTTTGGTAGTATAATACTTGGGTCAAAACGTAGTTGTTTTGTTGGATGTAACCTAAATTTGTTGTTCCAGGTATTTCATATTAAAGTTTAAGAAAATGACCAAGAACTGATCTTTCAAATTACCTACACTTGTTTAGCACTTTAGAAAGCTGATAATGGACGAAGCACATAAGATAAGAGTCATTCCATGTAATTCCTTCCCAAATCGCTAAGCAAATTAACAGAATTTGCAGCAGAACCAAAAACATTGCAGAATAAACTTAAACTTAAATTAGGAACCATTCAAAAGGACGAGAGGTTTGCACATATTTCCTCTCTTAAGTAGCGAAGCTAAAGTTAATTAACGACGAGCGAACTTTATTTGCCAAGAATTCTGGTTCAAAAACTACTTTAAACATAATCTCAATTAAAGTTGATAGAGATTTCGATTATTGTCAGTGCATTTTTTTTCTATTATCTTATATTTCTGTACTCTAAATACACTCTATACCATCTATTCTAAAAAACATACAACGTACAAAAATACACAGCGAGATAGTGATTTAATTATAATGGCTTCTGATTTCGCTTGTATAAAACAAATATGTATATAAGTGTCTGAATAATGTAATAAAAATATATTTTTTTTGGCAAACCTCTTATAATTTACAAACCCTTAAAAATTAGAAATGAAGAATGCAAATCTTTTACTTTAAGCAAGTTTGAAACAACCTGTGCATTAATAAAACTAATTTTAAAAAGTGCCCCAGAAATATCACAAGTACTCCACTCCACAGTTCACAGAAATCGTATGTAGGTCATCCATCCACTCGACACACTCTTCCGGCTACAAGAGTATTACTTACACAGGTAAACACAGGGAATAAAACGAAGGTGGCCAATTAACATGCCCTTGAGTAAATATGATAAAAATAGATTCTGTTAAATCGATCCCGTTCAACTCAATGAGCAATCCGTTTGACATTTACTTAAATGTACTTACGGGGTTGTTGTTCTGATTACAGGTAGCGGTAACGGAGCTCAGTATTTGGGGAAGTTCCTGGGTAAACTTTCCGAACTTCACCACGGAGTTTCGGGAGAAGTCTACGCGGTCGACGGACGAACTTTGCACATTAAGGACTTTACATACGACGGCCAGGGACCAGGTAAGTGGTTACTAGCCAACTAATTAGAAGTACATTCGTAATTGACCCGGTACATTTAATTGAAATTATTTAGAGCGCATTATACGCCCAAAAGTTTCAATAACAATAGAAGCATATCTTTTCGGATGCGTTAGAGGTAAGGAGAGTCAACTTGATCGTTTAAAATTTCGTGGAGGATTAACAGGTCTGTTTGTGTTCTTTTGTTTTGGAGAGTTAGAATTTTAAATTTTGATCTAATATGCTTGTAGTTGTGATTTTCAATGTTAATGTTAGTTAAAAATCTGTTTTGTACTCGTTCCAAACTAGTGATGTGGATGTTGTAATTAGGATTCCAAATGACTGAAGCGAACGAAAGTTTACTATGAACAAAAGCAGAGATGTGGGATTTTTAAAATCTATTGAGTTTTTTTTTTTCATGAAACCGATCATTTTATTCGATTCGATTATTACTCTATCCATATGAGTCTTAAAAGTTCACTTTTCGTCCAGCGTTACCCCCAGATCTCTAATCTCCGTCACTCGCTCTAAGTTGGTGTTATTAATATTGTATGTTGAGTTTATTTTTTTTACGTTTATGATGAAGAATATCCTTTATTTGGCGGATTCAAGAAATAGATGATTATTTTGAGAGTATTGTTCCAAGCGCAGAAAGTTTTCTTGGAGATTTAGACAGTCATCGGAGGTTTCGATCTTGGTGTATATTATCAAGTTGTCGGCGAAGAGCGGTATTTCACAATGTTTGAAACATTTTTGTATTGAATTATGAAATATGTTTATAAAAAACAAACGACCAAGATGATGTCAAAAAACTCCGATTTATATCCATCGACTGTCACTCTTCCTTTTCTATCACTAAGATAATTGCTGGACAATCTAACCATTTCGGCCTCAACCCCGACCTCTGCAAGCCTAGTCGACAATATTTGGTGGTCTATCTTGTCGAATGCCTTACTAAAGTCGATGTAGACTACGTCAACCTGTTCTTCACTGTCAAATGACCTAGTAACAAATTCAGAGAAACTCAGTAAGTTTGTTTCGAGAGACCTCCTTGGAAAAACACTATGTTGTTCTTGGATTATTTTATTTTTTATACCGAGAAAAATAGTGTCATACATGAGTTTCTCTAGAATTTTGCCAAAGGCACACAACTTGCTTATAGGCCTATAGTTCTTAACATCCTCTCTATCGCCGCTTTTAAAATTTGGAATAATTTCACTTACTTTCCAACGTCGCGGGAATGTGCCAGACACAAGTGACTTGTTAAATTATGTGGGCATTGTTTAATAAAAACAGGTGGTATGCCATCCGGTCCTGGACATTTGTCTAGATTTAAGTTTTGACATACTTCTGTGATTTTATTACACGAAAACTCGTTCTTTTTCCTTTTATTATTGTTCAATTTCAAGTCTTGCATAAGAATTGTGTTTGATTTAATGTACACACTTTTAAAAGAATACGCAAACGCTTCGGCAAAATTTTTGGCGCCCTTTACGAGAGTTTGGTTATGCTTTACTGTGTAGGGAATTGAGACATTGTTTTTTCTTCTACTTCCAATAAAATTACAATTTTTTTTGAGTTTTCCAAAATGTTGGTGTCTATCCTTGCAGTATATTTATTATAGTCGAATCTGATCATTTGCTTTGATACGGTTCGTAATTCATGGAACCGATCATACGTAGCTTGGCATTTTTTATGAAATTTGTTTTTTCTTTTATTGCTGATATTGTTTTAAAACTAAAAACTTACCAAAACTAAAATAAAAAAAAAACTAAAAAAATCTTGCGAATTGGCACATTTTGTTGAACGATTCTGTCTATTATGTTGCAAAATTGATCTGTCATTGAGTCCACATGATCACCTGTCAGAGTCCGATTCCAGTCTATTTCTGATAGATAGGTATTTATATCGTTAAAATTAGCTTTATTAAAATGATATATTCTTTTGTTTGGGGGATTAAGGAACTTAACGCATGACACAGACCAGAGGAATTCTGTAGCTTTACGATTGGCATTTTCGTGTAAATTCGTGTAAATTTGCAATATCCTGTTAATATTATTTTTTATATGATTACCGCGGACGGAACTCTCAAGTAGAGTTTTTTCATGTTTCGCCATGCCACTCAGAAACGCTGTCGTTGAGTAATTGCATCCAGGTGGGATGTAAGTACAACAGATGATTGCGCTCTCCCGTACTTAACCTGATAACATTGATAAGTTAAGAACTGAATTAATTGACTCAAAACTTTAAAGGTTAATCCAAGGAATTGTACGTAATACCAATATTAAAGAAAATGTAATAAATCAATAACACCTTTGCAAGAAACACCAATAGAATCCTATGGTACAAAACTCAAATAACATAGTGCAAAAACAGGAATAAAAATTTTACAGTTTTTTTAAGACTGCAATATTAACAAATAAAATAAAAGCATGAAAAAGTGTCACAAATCTCCAAGACCGTAATACAAAACGAATTTATTTTAATTATAACTTTTAGATTTTACGTTACCATTTCTAAAGTTACTTTGGTAATACCACTAAAATGGAAACCTCTTCAAAACATATGTATGTAGTACATTGAATCTATGGTTGGTCCGAATATCAAAAAAAGGTCTTTGACATCAGTTTTTCTCCATTTCATTAAACGAATCTGTTCAAATTTTTCTTATGACACAAGTATATGTAATTTTTTTCACAAAATATTTACGTAAGGATTTTTGTTAATTTTGTGCTGGGGTCTTTGTGAATTATCAAAAACAAAGTTGGCAACTCTTTAATAAGGGAGATTTTCTATTCAATCTTGTACAAGGTGACTAATATCGAGTTAAGTTATAATTTTAAAGTCATTATTTGAAATAATTCAAGATAAATATATGCCGAATAAAAGAGTGATCGCGAATATGTAATTTAGTAATGTTCCACCGTGGGAAAATTAATTATTCAATGAATAGTGGTGTAAGTGGGACTAATTAAATTATATTACGAATTCATTCGACTGTATTTATCCCTAACGGAGGTGCGATTATTACTGGCTGTAATAAACGTTCAAGTGCAGGAGTTTTTAGGCGAGAAATAATGGTTTATATTAAATAATGGTTTATGAACATTCTTTATGTCAAACCTAAAACTAGTGGTGGTTTGTGGCCTTTATTTTTGTCACAAAGTAAAGCATAATGGAGTGTGTTGCAGTTTGCAGACGAAAGAAGAAAAACCTTTCAAGTTGGCTTCAAAGGCAATAATTAATTACATAAAACTGCAGGATAATCTACACCTGGCAACACAACGTTGCAAGGCTTTCCAAACCTATTAACGCCCCACACAGATACAGAAACATTCTCCCTATGCTTTAAAATACTATCGAATCTTGTAATATACGTACACTTCTGTCGATTGTTTAACTATTATTTGTATTAGGTATTTTCCTATTCGAATTAAAAATAAAACCTTAAAAATACTATTTGTTGAGCAACTGCCAAAAAAAACCATTTACATCCCCTCTTATAATAGCTTGAACCTTCAATGATTGATAATGGATTGATTTTTGTTAGTTTTAAGGGGCATCGAAAACATCAGATTGTGGGCCTAAAGCGCTACAACGATTTTCCGAATACCCGAAGTATTATTTGCCGAATGTAAGTTTATCAGGACACTAAGTGAATTGTACTTACGAGAATGTGCCATCTAAACAATAAGTGCAACTGTATTTTTATTAATACAATGAAACCGTGACAAGATATTACGAGTTAAAAACATTGCAGAGTCACAAATAAACTCATGAAACTCCTCCATATTTTATTAGACGATAAAAAGCACCAGTAAATCAAATCTTGCACATGAAATAATTGACGACATTTTTGGAGAGAATAAAACCGACAAAAGTTTACAAAACTAGGTCATCTGATAATAATTTGCAAATAACTGGTTAGGATTTCCGTCCTATCCGATTCTGCTTGATTGACCCGATATGCAAATAACTCACCACTCCGAGATAATTATAATACTATCAAATAAAATACAAAGAAAACGATTTTTTTTTAATAACTGGTTTTGAATTTAATAGTACGTCGAAAAAAATACGCGCAGATAACATCGCCGCGTGGCACAGTTCTTATAGAAAGCCGGTATACGCTGTTAACTCCATCAATCTTTTTCTTTCTGATCCGCCATTATGTGCGGGTTTCGTGTTCCCATTTTACCTTTCCTGTCGTAAGAACGCTTTTACATCCCGTAACTGAAGATTATGGAACCTGCTACTATTATTGTATAAGTTGCCGATAGCATAGTCAAGTTTACCCTACCGATATAAGGATCGGGTAAATTTCATTTTAACGAAATTCACCGCGAGTTAAAACAAAGATGACCTGACAAGTCGCTACATTTAAAAATTTAAAATAAACTATTAAAAACACACACGTTATTGCTGGTGGTTTCCCGATTTTTGCGATCTGTTTCAAATTAATAAATTAACCCTTTCCTAAAACTATTTAACTATTAAATTGATAAATAACCATACATTACCTATTATTCCTTAGGTTATAATTTTCATCCTTTCTATCGGTGTTATGGAAATAGCATAATTACTAAAAATTAGAAAAATTAAAATGACTCGTAGTTCCGCTAAAGTATAGTCTTGCGATTATATATTTTTGTTAATTTGCTTATTTTAATTTATCGAAGATTTATTATTGTTGGTTAAGAGTTTTTTTGAATAATTTAACAAATTCTATTAGTTTCATTTTCAAATCAGAATCATTTTTTTTAATTGTGGGGCACCCATCGAGGTATAGAAACAGGTAAAATCAAACTAACCAGCTTTTGATAATTGAATAAGCTAAATCTCAAATAGCAAGTGAGCCAGCTAGATTTTTAATGACCAATAGCTAGAAAGTAACATTTTTTCCTATAGTTCATTGAGTATTCTTAAAAATGAAAGTAAACGTAAGCTGGCACATTTGGGGCGGGGGTAACCATGACGGCCACACACACATGTACAATAATTATTAAAAAAAAAGCAATATCCAAAAGGCTTTACTTTTCTTATATGATATTAATTGCATTGTGTATACTCAACGAACTGTACAGTGGTGTATTATGTCATTTTGCAACGTAAATATGTGGAAGATACAAATACAAAAGAAAGTTGAAATTTGGTTGAACGATAACTTCATTAGTTTTATTTTTAAAAACAGTTCGCCGAGTTTATTCGTGGAGGAGAAGTGCCCAGCTGGCAATCACAAGTTATTACACCTTTTTATTATTACAACCTTTTTGCGTTCTTATATATGTATTATGTAAGAATAAAAATTAATAAATAACAAAATCCAAAAAATCGAGAACTTTATAGAGTAGTTATTAAGTTATATGAAAAATGTTTTCAAATTTAAGAGGGATGCTCAGCTGATGCAATGAAATGTATAACGTGCCTGTGCTTGATCTGTAACTGGTAGCAGGCTGACCACTTTTCAACCGTGAAAAACTCACCGTTTTTTTAATAAAATTTAATAATAAACTAACCGAAACAATCTCTTCACCAAATTTCAGCTTCCTTGATATAAGTTTAACTAAGCAATATTTTACACATGTTTACTAGGGAAGCTGACGTATAATACACAACCGTAGAGTCGGCTGATTATGATTATAAAAAGAGGATATTGATTTATTTGGACACTTTTAACCATTTAATGGAAACACCGCCCACCTACTGTTTCAGTTATATAGTGTTTTAAAAAAGCGCTCACTTTTTTTACAGAAAATTTTGTGTTTCTTTAAAAACAGTTCCCCGCCATTATGTTACTCTAAATTTAATAATTTTAATATAATATTTTTAAATACCTGTTAATAGTATATTATGCAACAAGTGCGGTAAATGCAATTTCACTCACGAGTTTTTAATAAACGAGTGAGTTAAAAAGTTTACCGAACGTGTTGCACACTATACTTCTTGTAAGACCGTTAGTTTTTGGGTACATTTTCGCAAATCAACACGAATACATTCACTGACATGACCGTCAGAATTGACAAACATCAAAATTCAAAGCGTGGGAAATAAATCCGTGGGGTAAAATCCCGGAAATGTCTCGGATTCATGGGAAACAAAACTGACGTGGTAAAAGGTATTTTACAGACGGGAGTAGAAAAAAATATTTTTTTCTACTCCCTTCTGTAAAATACCCAATGATACATCGATATAGCGAGCGGAACGTGTCACACCAAATTAGTTTCGTTTCCCACGGACGTTTGCGGAATATTACCGAACCGGTTTGGGAATTTTGACGTTTGTCAATTCTGACGGTCATGCCAGTGAATGTATTTGTGTTGTTTTGCAAAATTGTACCCAAAAACTAACGGTCGTAGAAAAAGTATACTATGCAAACTTTTTAAATCACTCGTTTATTAAGCACTCACTTGATGCATAATATACTATTACAACCTCAACATAAAAGTCAAAGGCCCTAACAAGACTAGCAAAAGCTTAAAAAAAGTACAGTCCACACGTACACACAGTACCAGAAAAAAAGAATGGGTCAAATGGTTCCTAGGAAAATGTAACCGAGTACGGCTTTCGCGTTGATTGTTAAAATATAACATGCCTTTACAGACAAAATTTGGCAAGGTGGAATTGCCAAAATATCAATATTTTTGGAAAGAAAATTTTAATGTTCTTTTCAATGATCCAAAAATAGACAGGGTATCCACGGTGTAAAAAATCGATTTTTCTATAGATAACTAATACAATAATATTGTTAAAAATAACATAGCATTTCGTTTACTATCAATATGAAACAAAAGCAGAAATCCTCAACTTGCATTCGATGATGACCCAAAAATAGCAGCTGACTAAAATATACCGGTCGAATTTCCTTTACGTGCCAGAAGTAATAGCGTTCTCTGAAAATTTGAAACTTTATTTCAAAAAATTGTGGAAAAACCTTCGTGGTTACCAACTATTCTAATTCTGTTTTCTAGAAAATTTATCTCGCAATGCGTTCAGGAATTCAAAGGATTGATATATCTCCCCATTGTCAGGCTAAAATAAAAGCAACTTACATGTTTATAGTATCACATTAAATTAACTAGAAATGTAAAATATCTACCTGTCGTAATATCAGATATATATTCACTGCCATATTTCAGCGGCCTATTTCTATGCCAGTACCTATAAAACCGCCGACAGCCGGGGATTCAGATTAAGGGATGAAAATAACAACGGAGAAGTGATCAGGAGATACAGGAAGGAAGGGGTGACTATAACCCTCCCAGAAGGGAAGACATTAAGCAGTATCAAGATATTCTACGTGTGGTGCGAGGAATTCGACGTAAGTGTTTACTTCCTTTATGACTTTGTAACTGTCATGGCCCTAGTTAGTTTTGGTTAGTTAGGTACTTTACTTGGATGCAATATTTTCCTGGAGTTATTTATGGTGTTAATTAAATTTTTAATGTTAAATGTTTAATAGATAAGTTATATTGCGAACATTTCATCAAGATAAGAAATATCGTAATTAGATATTCAAGGTTTTCGCGGTAACATGTCACCTGAAATAAAAAGCTTTTTCAGAAATTGTTTTCAGAATCGGTATTGTTTCCCGTCAACAATTTTTTCGCAATAAATGTCTAAGTTATTTCAATTAAATTTTAATTATAAAATATTATAATTTAATACAATAATTTTTCCATATTCTGTCCGTATGAACTTGGGTATAAATCAACGACCGACGATGTCGGTATCTATTAATCTAATGATGAATTTTGGCCACATTTGAATTTATAAATGAAAAGGTTCACATAAATATATAAGTTAGCATTTAATATAATTGTAACAAATATTCAGATGCAACCAGCGGTATTTGTTTTGATGCATTATTATTGCATGCTTTTGTCTTTCAAGTTCTTTTTTATGCACATTTGCACTTATGGTCGGTAATAATATCTTTAGGGTTTCTCCACCTTCTAACCCACTGGCCTTTTAAGCCTTTCTATTTTATTGATCTTCAACACCATATTCATGAATGTGCTATCTTTTTTTTTTCTTGAAAGTTCTGTACTTCTCGATTAGTAGTACGTCGGAGCTCCCTATAGAACAATGTTATACATGTTAAGAAGTATTATTTCGGCTAAGATGAACGTTTTTGCTTCCGCTTCGCCGGCTATGTTTACTTGGTTAAGATGATAAGTTTTTTGTCTCAGATGGCTAGAATTTGGTAAACTTTTAAAGGTTGAGAGTTTGATATCCAATATGATAATTTCTCTCTCTTTGAACGGAAATGACGAAAAGCCGCCTAGATACATTTTTTTAAAGTCGAATGAAAAATAAATGGAGTTAAAAAATATCAGAAAATATTCTGCTAAATCTCAAAATGTAAACAAATACTGTCAGTGCTGTTTGAAATGCGAAACAATCGAGTGAATTTATTTACCCCATTTAGTTTAAGTACTTGGTTTCTTCACTGCTTTTAAGTTCCAAGAAAAAAATATTTCAATTGGGAGGATCAGAATTCAGAAATAAGAAATAAGTAATATTTTGAACATTTTTCGAACGGACATTGACCTGCTACAATTGTCTTTAACAACTTTTTAAATGCAATGGTGATACTGAATTAGACATTTGCACTTTTAGATATTCTGTATTTAGTGATATTGATTAATTAATATACCATTCGTAGATTTAGAAAAAACATTAATTATCAATAAATTATCAAGATGTCATCACTGGTCTTCACAGATAAATACGACACACTCTTTCCGTTAAATTCATTTTCTCAAATGTGACCTAAAAATGTAATTAATTATTACTTAAAGATCCGGTTACTATTCTCTCGGTTTTGCTTATGTGGTTATTATAAGAATATTGCGCTCTATTTAACACTAATTTTATATTTCACATTGGGAGTAACACGCAAGGTATGTGAGAACGTGTAGGCATATTTTCCGCCTAAATGTCATTAAATAAATTATTTGTGTATTAATATGTTCGGGGTGACCCGTTTGTTATGGAATGATACGTTATTTCAGAATGTGTAAAAAATATCAAAAAAGCTTAAAGACAAAAGTTGAATTCATTTGTAAAATATTGTATTATTATACAGTGTTTTTGTATTTTCGTAAATATTTAGCAATTTTCTTATTTTAAATAGATAGATATATACCTAAGTCCGTTTCTGACATGTTTTGAATTTTTCTCGGACTGACGGCTTACCTTATATATTTTCCGTTGATTTCATTATATACGGCGCTCTGTAGATTTCGAAATATTAGCAATATAACTCGTATTCATTGTGAAAATGATGTGACGAAAAAACTTGGCAAAAAAAAACGAACACTACAAAAACGTCACGACTTTAACTTGCTGTGGGTAGCGAAATCAATGTTGATAGTTTTATGGCCACCTAACTAGATCATTTTTTGTAGTTATATATATGTATATCGCAAGCCTATAAGATTTTTTTCTAAAAAAACTAAATAATGGAGAAAATACTTATAGTAAATAAAACCCACAGAAAAATATATAATAATGAATTTTTTTATAAAAATTAATTTATTTTTTATAAAATATAATGATTTTTTATTACAGCCCTTAAATATTTTTCTAATATTCGTTTAAAACAGTGCTTTTTGTAGGTTCTTGACCTTCTAGATATTTTATAGCAAAGGTCTAAATGTGTTTAGTAAAATTTGTTCCATTTTTAAGCAATAAACAAAGTTAAAAGCATTTGTGTTAACTTAATCACCAGACATGATGTAAATCTATAAGAAAATTGTGTTTTATTGTTATTTTTTTCTGTCATATGTCGCCATTATTTTCTTGATCAATTAGTAGCCGTTTAGCAATTTTACAACAAAAAACTTTTTATTGTTAATATTTCAAAGTCTACAAATTTTTGACTTATCAAATCTTATACAAAATGAAATTATAAAAATGGGATGTTCCCATTAAAAAATATATATAACGATTTTTTTCACCGCCCAGTATAATTTATTTTTAAAATATCAACATATACCACTAAAGTAGATCCCCTTATATACGAAAATCCTATAGTTAGACATGCAAACGTCACTTTTGAGATAAAATTAAAAATGTCACAAACCATATAGGTTAGTTAGTTTATAAATAAAATATGCCATTTAAAATAAGAAAGTTCTTAATTTTGGTTAATACAAACACCCTGTTTAGATAGCAAACTTTTATATTTAAGTTTACACAGATTCTGAGATAAGTTATCCTCCCGCAATGTGCATATTTCTCCTGGGTGATAATTAAAATTAGGAAAATATATATAATTACATCAATTAACGTATGAAAAAAACTTTTTCTTGGTTTCAGGTGAATTTTGGGGACGTCAAAATATCCCAAGGGTTCGACTTTCCTCGTCCACAGAAAATCGACGCCCTTAAAGGAGTACACTCGATCTCCTCCGACAATATCGTCATCGTCGACGCTCAAACTTTATTAATTCCCAACTTGTACTACGACGGGGAGGCCCCAGGTAAGAATCTTCTCTTGCCACACTCCCCGCTTCCATTCGCGACGCCACCCTATCGCGAACATTAAACGAACATGCCTAGCATTACTTTCGGATAGTTCACGAGTTATTGACGGCGCTTTCCAAGTCTTATATGAATTTTGTGTCGATTCTGAAGCGGGGATGTCAACGGATTACGGGAAAACTTTCACGTTAAAGGGAGGGTGCTTGAAATTCCGCCTCGAATATCTGCTGTATTATATTGAGCAGATTAAAAATACAGTCTAGAACAAAGTTAACATTCTCTTAATATGAAAATTGCTTGAAATAATAATTTTAAAAACCGTGATGAGTATGCAGGGTGACCTGTCGAAAAGCTTACAGCCTGAGAAAAAACTTTTCACCACTTTCCACTAAATCAAACAGTACATTTAATTTCTTGGTCACAGGGACGAATTTTGACGGAAAAACCTTTCACCCGAATTGTTTCAAATGGGAAGGATGGTGAAGGAACACCTCATTTAATTATAATCTCTTATACTTTGCTACTTACTTTTTGAAAGTCCATCCACTCGTATAAAACTTTAAAATGCCAACAATAAGTGTGAAAAAAAGTAATTTAGTTAATTTTTCTGCACAGCTTATTCAAATAAATTGCAGATACTTTAGGTACATTTTTGTGTTCAAATAATTATGATGTTTCTGCTGCACATTAATATAGGCCAAATACAAGTAGTTTAAGAACCTGCATACAACGAACAGGAACTGGAACGACTAGAACCCTGAATAGGATGAAGGGTTGCTCAGTTACACCATTTAACTCCTTTAGATTTTTATACTCCTGAATACTAGACTAGAAATCTAAAACAAAGAAAATTGCACTGGCTCTGTTTTGACATTGTACTTCTACCATTTCTGAATTGATGCAAGTTTTCTAACAATACTTTAGTAATTAACCGTCTGTAATTCTTAACTTTACTTTCATCTCCCTTTTTGAGTTTGGGGATAATTATGGATATTTTTAACCTACCTGGAAAGTCACCGCAACAAAACGAGAGATTCGCGAGATGAGTAAGTGGTTTTATAATGTAAACATAGCTCGTTTAATTAAAAAGTTTGGAAGCTCATCAAACCCAGTTCATTTTAATTTTTTGTATTTGAATAAAAGTAAATCCGAGAGTTCCTATTCTGTGTAAGCGTAAAATCTAAAATTACATGAAAAACGAAGTTGGACGGTGAGTAAACATGAGTTATCATGACATCACAAGTAGGTACACTAAGGTACACTAGATGAACTTGACTGATATGATATACACCTTGTTGGCATTTCCAAGGTCCATTTTTTACTTTACCAGGCAAGTGAATCAAAACTGTCTCAAAATTAATGCAACCTACGTAACTCCGATCGCTTATTGGGTCACTAAACTCCGTTCAAAAATTAAACAGACTAAGAAAAAGAGGAGACAGTATCCTTTTGAGAAGTTTTCAACAAATATTTTTTTTATATAATTACTTATTAGGCTATAAGCTATTAAGCTAGTATTAAATGAACAGATTTTATCAGTTTTGCTCACGCATCTGCCAAATGGCCATGTGAGAGAGAGAATTTTTTCGCCTGTGCTAAATGTAATTTTGAACTGTTAAGTTGTTGCATGGTATTCCGATTTTATTTTCTCAAGGGCAATTTTAAACTGCGGCATTCTTCCATGACTTCATAGGAGTTAATTAATGACTTTGCTTGAGTTATGTTGTAAATCTAACGATTAACTATATGAATTATAGACCAATTGAAAATGCTTGTGTAACTTCGCCTTATTGAAATTCTGCGCCGTCGAATAAATTTTGTTAAACGCTGAGAAATTGGAGAAATTTATTTATACCTATGTATTATTATACCTGCTCGAACGCACTTTCTCTACGACCGTTTCTGGTTTCATTTAATAAACGACTTTACCCGGATTTCGATGGTTTTTTTGGCGTACACAGTGTGCGTGAATTTGCTTAACAATAGCGAATTTCTTTTAAAAATACGTTAACTAAAAAGTTATTTCTGTAGATATGGAAAAAAATTGTACTTTTAATAGTTGTTAGGAATGAAAAGTTATGTTTATATACGTACATTTAGTCTCATTTAATGTCTTTTAACGACGTTTTACAAATATATTATACCATCCAAATAGGAAATTTATGTTATATATCTTAACATAACTCTTAACTCTATACAACTGTTTTGAGTACAGTGTTTTGCTATCCATTCTAGTAAAATTATTTCATTGTGTTGCAAAATGTGCGTTTTGAGTTCAACCTTCTATAATGTACATGTCAATTTTGATTGATACTAAACCAGTTTTAAGACAAGCTAAACGTAACCGGCAGTAACAAGTTTTTGGGTAACGGAATATTAAAGCAAATTTCTTAATCAAATTTACACACAGACTGTAGGTGATTCACACTTTTTGCTAATTAGACTAAATAATAGTTCTTCCAGAGCTAGTAATATATAGTAAAACAAAACACAAATTCAAATCAGTATGACGATGTCAAAAACATTGTTCTCGAGATTTCAGTACGACTAAATAAAACTAATCGAAACTCACGCCACCTTTTAAAGGCAGAAAATCACTAAAGCTAGAACATTCATAATTTGAAGTTATTACCGTAACTGTTTTTATTAAACGAATTTGATACGTAGCTGTGGTAGTTATATAAACCGGAAGAACAACAGGAAAACGATTCCAAAATTTACTGTAAATTTAATAAGGCAAACGATTTACATTAATTTCTTTTTATATCATATATTCATATGATGGCAAACTACATAAAAGTGACTATGTTCAATTGTTTTGCGCTTTAGTGCCGCTTGAGTTTGTTCACCCTATATATGCTAATTAGGAAATATAAAAGAAAGGGAGATGTTTGATCTGCCCCAAACCCGATAATATTGCAAAAGTTCATCAAAATATAGTTAGACTGTTGAAACTAATATTAGTTTGATGTTATCTTTCACTTGAGAATATTTTTTATAAGCTAATATTCCAGATTGATCTTGAAAACTTCTTTGTGGTGCCCTGTATATAATTATTTGGATGAATGTTAAGTTTTTTTGTAAAATAGTTCAGAATGATAATGAAATATGAATAAATAAATCAATCGAATACGTTATACTTTTCTTATGGTGAATTATAGGACGAATCACATGCCTAAATAACCACATCCCTAATTTTTTTACAGATGCGAAGTTTTGGGTCGGAAGAGGACCAAAACCGTCACCGCAAGGTATACGTGTTCCAGACGAGAATGGCAAAGAGGTACCTCTCAGAAGATACAACGGCAAAACCGTAGTGCTTACCTTGCCAGGCGACTTAACTGTATTTGACATCGGCCACTTCGGAATATGGTGTGAACAATTCACCGTCGACTTCGGCCACATCCAGATTCCTCAAACATTAAACGTACCGCCATCTTTAAAAATGCTCGGCGTTAGCCCACAGGTAAATTTCACTAATTAGTCCACTAAGATTTTGCAATCCTATCGAATCGTTTCAAATTTTCATGGTAGAACATAGCTATTATAAGTGTCCCCCGAACAACTTTGTTGCCTCGTACATGTGCCATTGAAACTGACAGGGCAGTCTGAAAAAAATTGGTTACGCTTAGGTTTTTTTTTAAATTTTTGCTTTGCTTTGCTACTTTTATTATATGATGCTCATAAAATTAAGATCAGGTAAGTACTACTACTGTCGCGTAGTAATTATTGTTCTCCTGTGTGAAGGTTATACGTACGGAAACATTAATTTTCTCTCCGTAGTATATTACACTATTCTCAACGACTACTCAACATTCTTGTACTCGTACCCTTTGTTAAAATTTAAACTTAGGTGTACGAGTTAGTCACGTACATATATTCCCAGTGACTCAGGCTGTTCCTCAGTAAATTTATCCCAGTCAGTAACTGCTCCTCTCTCTGTTGTTGCAGACCCCCCGTTACCCGATCCCGGACAACTCGAGAGAGGTGTCGGTGCACAGGCCAAGAGTAGGGGGACACTTACAAGCGACCACCTATCGACCACCCAATTTTTTTGCAATCGCACAACGCCGCCAAGGAGATTTTAACCTAGCGCCGCAACAAAACGCGATACAACCTCAACCTTATGTGCCTTTTCAACAATTACCCCAAAACCACTATCAACAAACCCAAGCTAGATCATTTGAGTATCAACCCAATCACCAATACGTCCAACAACCAACGCAGTATAACTTCGCTCAGCAACAACAACAATATCAGCCTCTATTGCGCACTCATCCCACTGAGCAACAATATATTCAACAGCCAATACAAAATCATCAAGTTTATCAGCAGCAACAGCTACAACCTATTGCTTATCAACCGCTCGGTCAAAGATATAATGAACATTCGGCTTACAATTCACAGTTGGAAGAGCAACAAAGGATCGCCTCTCAACTTGCCAGACCTAGAAATAGATTTGATTTATCTGGAGCTCATCAGCAATCTTACGGAACGTTTGGTTAGAGATTTAGTTCAAGTGCATTCAGTCAGTTGAGCTCCGATTGAAATCGACCGCACAGTGGGCGTGACAGTATCGGTTAACTTATTTTTTTTTGTGAGATGATTGGCAAGCATTGTGATAGGAAGTATTATTTTATAATTTGCAAATTGAGGCTGTATGTTTCCGAAAAGTAGCTTGGGTATTTTTGAAAAATGACACTTCTAAAACGTTTCGATTACTTTTGTTATCAGAACTACCTGCAACAGAGTGAACAGTCCTAATCATCACCAGTTATTGCCAACCAGTTTAACAAAATTTGCTTGTGTGTTAAAATTTAACAAACTAACCAATTCAACAAAAATATGTCAATATTCAAGAAGAATTTATAACTTGTTTAAATATACAATTATTCGTATACAAATATGTAGGAAATTCACTTTATAAATTTTAACTTGGCTGAATTCATTTCAAGAAAACGTGCGATCTATGGTTGGACCCCGAAATTCTTACGGGTTTAATTATAAACTACAAAAATATGGAAGTTACAAATTGCTGAAAAAACCAGAAGGCTCTATAAGACTTAGAACTCTACAATTATTATTATTATTAAGCTATTTTGCATTGTAATTCTCTGACGTCATAAAGTGTTTTCTTTATTTCGCTTGACGTCTTTCAACAAATTTAAACCAACTTCTAAATTAAATTGATCAAGCATTTTTTTCATACAAGCTGCAATTTAGCATGTATTTAGTATCTATTTTTGTTTTTTGTTCACCAAAACCTCGTTTTCAAAACTTTTTCAGACTCGATGGCTGCTTTTTTGGTTGTCTAACTGCATTTTTTTTGACTGGATGAATTTTTATATCGTCGAGTGTCAAAATCTTGCCGCTTTTGACTAATTTATCTTAAAAATTTAAGATGAAGTTTCATTACCAAATTGTTATTGCCAGTGAGAATATGTGTGATGTATAATAACACACATTATTTTAAGAGTGAAATGTATTTATGTGGCCAGTTTCGCTATAGTTATTAACAGAATAAAATATACATTTTTTATTTAATTTTTGTATATATGTTTGTAAATATTTTTGTAACAAATGCTTCCGAATGCATCTATTGAGTTATTTGATTTGACGTTCCCATAATTATTTTGCTCTGTCAATAAATTGTCGGAATTTGAATATCGATGACACGGGATCCGTCCTAATATGTTATTACGTCGAAGACTAAATTGCTGTATTATGGGCAGATTTATGGTCGTGGTTCCCATTCGGCGCGGTCGTGATTTATTGTGTTCGGTTGTGTGCAAATTTGTGACCTTATTCCAGCAAGTGCGCCTCTATTGGTAGAACAGAGGTGTCGCTTAATTAAAATTTGGATTTGGAAAAAATACGATTGGCTAATAGAAAATAACTTTTTTTTTCAAAATTTTATAGCGTCCTACATATACATACACTCGCTTATGGCTGGTTCTATGAAGTGTGCTAGTACGAGTTCTAGAGAACTATTCCAATGCATGTCTTCTACCTTATTCAGAAAATATTGCAATAGTATAGCAGATGCTTTTATTGTGGTTTTTAAAAACAATAAAATATTTCTATTTTGCGTATAGGTACTACCGAGAATATCAGTAAACCAACTTTTAAATGGCTATTACCCTAAAAGAGAGGAAAGTCTTTTCAAGATTATTAAAATTATTAAACAGGTATAGAGGCGTTGAATTTCTTCACATTTCCATTGAATCAAACAAATGGTATTAATAAAAATTTCCGAATAATACAACTATAATGCATCAGTTTTAGCAAATAGACGGAAAGAAATATGTTTATGGGTTCAAATTCGCTAAAAGCATTCTCATTGGTGATGACGTCAGCGTTTGTATTGGGACATAAGCAGCCGAACATTTCAAACTAACCAAACTTTCTTTTCTTCCGCTAAGTTTACTATTACACGAACTTATATTTATACCTTTCTAGATTTTGAGAGACTATTGGTAACAACCGCCTGAAAACAGCAAATTATCGGTCATGGTTAATTTTGATATTGTCGTAAAAATGTAAAATATAATCCTAGAAGTGGCAAAAACACACATTTTTTTATTTCTTTATTTTTATAAACGATGGGATTGAGAAATTTGACATGCTAGGTTCAAATGCATTGCTGAAAGGATAACTTCAATTTCTGGAGATGCAAAGAACCAATTAACACATCGAGGAGCGAAAAAGGTAAAATATTCATAAAAACTGAAATGTAAGGGAAATTATGCAACAATTAAGCGAGTTAGTCAGACTTTGTAAGTATCAGTCGCTAGAGGCTACAACACTAATAATTGTAAATAGAAAAACGGGATTTCCTCTGTAATTTGACCACCTATTCGGTTCAATTAATGCAAGTCTTTATGTAATGCATGTTTGATACTAATTCCTTTATTCTTCCTCATAAATCATCTGGTTAGGTATAAAAATCGTGAATAATTTCTTCATTTCACTCTCAGTCTAAATAGTCTCATGCATCATAACGTCTATGCAGTAAAAGACAAATGTTATTGTTTTCAAAATATTTGACAATCTAATAGAATCGGTTCATGCGGCCATCCTATATCAGTAACGGGTAAATGTTCCATACTTTTTTGCGAGCTTTGCACTTCAAATAATGGTAGAAACTTTATTGAACTTTCTTTGTCTGATTGCAACCATATTTTTGGAAGTTAAGACTAAGACGTAAAGCTAGTAGTGAAAACCACAAGTTTCTGTTTTTTTCCCTAACGTGGTATTAATAGAAAACTAGACATAAAAGCGTATTCACGCAATATGGCAGAAATATTATCACCAAAATAGTTTTAGATACATGCGGAGGTGTATTTTTTAAAATTAATTTCATATTACACATTATTCAAAAAGTATTAAAGTTGTACATTTTTCCTGACATTTTTGGGGATTATCTGGTCGCAATAAGTATCTTTTTTAATACTGTTTATAATTCCTTAACCTAAAGGTAATTTCAATGTTGTCAAAATATAACCGAATTTTATTTCAATTAATTTAGAAATAGTTATGTTCCGTAGGGGAAATTTCATATATTTATATAAAACTTATAGTTGATTTTTCAAAAGGAATTTAAAATTTAACGAATAAAGTTCGCAGATGCGGATATAACGGATCATAACGCGTTTTTCCGAATACGGTGTCTGGGAAAAAAATCACAGACGGTGAAAATGTATAGAATTTCTTTTAACGGGAGCAGTTTCGAAATAGAATCCTTAAACCCAATGGAAATTTCGAATTTAAAAAATTTGGGTCAAGATGACGATGCCAAAGTTGTACATTCACTTTGATATTTCCAAAATGTGCAATCGCGGGTCAACGTTCGCTTTGCTCACGACATTTCGAAATTGCGCTTTTACCTTTTGAATTGCAAATTATACCCACGTCAGATGAACAGCGGTACTTAATCTTATCCTCTTCAATAATTCTAATCGTTTCGATTATCAGTCAGAAAATGCTAGACATTGCCATCCATAAAATCAAGGACTATAATAAACTATTATAGCGCTCCAAGGACGAAGTTTAGACATTTAGGACCACGTTGATATAAACGAACATAATTTTTTTTTTTAAATATAATCAAATATGGTTCGAAATCTTGAAATAAACGCTCTACTTAAAACAAATTTTATATATACAGATCCGCAAACGACTGTCAAGTGAAAATGACTATAATGGGAACGAAATATTCTAGAAATTATTTTTCCTTTAACTTAAATAATCTTAAATAACTTAATAAATCGCTCAAACTTATTTGAAAGAATTAACGTAATTGTTTTTAAATTATTTAATGGTATTCGATAATTTCAAATACTTTTTTAAATCCCACTGTTGATATTGTAATCGGAAAGCAAATTAAATTTCAAAATGAAAACCTTCGATGCCTTCGCCCTTTTCGAAGTTATTGCCAAGATTTTATGATTGTGTTGTAAGTGATTCCTTTAGAATTAGAAATACTAATTGAAAAATTCTAATAACTCATTATTGTGCTGATACTGATATTAATTTAAAAACGTGTAAGTTTCCATGCAAAGTACTAAATTGGAATAGCTTTCATGTGCTTTAATTTTGACGGTAAGAAAAATTGAATCAACTGTTTACACGTCTAGATCAATGGCATTTTGCAAAATTTTAAGCAATATTTCCTTAAAACCCTAATAGCTACAAAGTTAAAGGCTTAAAAAGTATTTTATTAGAAATGACTGTAAAACTTGATTTTTTAATTTTCCTTGAGTCGTAAATTTAGTCTACTTTATGTATGACATAAAGTTTCCGGGCACAATAACATTTCCCTTTAAACAATATATTCAAATAAGCTTGAGCAGATAAATGGTTTAGAAAATACTTAAGAGCTTCCCTCGAATTTATTGAGACCCTTCATTTAAAAATTTTCGGAGAAGTCTTGTATGCTTCTATGATTCGCCTTTAGAATGAAATATTTTTTATCAAATTTTTTAATTAACACGTTTTAATATTTTTGCAGTCAAAATTGAATTGTGAGGTGCTAAACGAAGATCTGGCATTTGAAGTGCGCTGGGCAGTTGCCGGAGAGAGTATTGTTTTACAATTGGTTGCAAAACTGGGTAAGTAGGTAGTGAAAAAAATGAAAGACATCTCGTCTCACTAGTGTTATCATGTTTCTGTATATTTTTCTATATTACCATTAAAAATTTATTATTTCATTTTACTTAATATATAATATAATATATAATATAAACTATAATTTTCTGATGCTTTTGACCTTCGATTCACATAATACACATTTTGGAGAATAAAAAAACAGAACCATAAGTTATCTTTGCAGCCACTTTTTGCCGGTAGCATAAGGCAAAAAAAGTAAAAAATGCAAAAATGACATCAGTTAATTTATCTATTTATCCCACAAATGGGCCGATTCAAGATATTGTTTAGAAAGAAGTTTAGAAAACTGAATAATTTTAAATGTCGAGATCTAAAAGCTTAGTAAATAAAATAGTACCTGAAATAAATGCTCCTATATGTAGTAACTATACTTAGATTCGTTTGCATAACCATTGTAAGATCTTCTTCAGACATATGCTGATTGATAAGAACTATTCGGTTTTCCTTTTGAGCTGTTCGCTAAATAAATTACATTGCTAACGAAACTAGAAAAGCGCTTCTCATCTCATTGCTTCGATTATTTTGCTCTTGTCGCGTGTTTCCTCTTTTAAAATGTGACATTATTGTCCAAATATAAACATTTATTTCCATCAGAGTTACAACCGAAATTTCAAATTTAGATGGCAACGAATACATGTCATTTGGAGTATCTGGCGATGATTCAAAAAGCGTTATGATTGGTGGCGATGTCGCTGTAGCTTGGGTAGACAAAGAAACTCTGAAAGGGTATGCCCAAGATTACTACCTGGCTGACAAATCACAGTGTTCTGGTCCAACAGGCTCCTGCCCTGATCTACGATTTAGAGTAAGTAGACAAGTTTTTAAATGGCCCGTGATATTAGTACTGCGTTAGAATTCAGGTATCACCAATAAAAAATAATTAATATTTACCAAACAACGGAGCTATGTGTCTTCTAGGAAAACACGGAAAATATTCGCCTTTTGAATGCCGCTCTGGTCAACGGTTATTCGATAGTGACTTTCCAGCGCCCGCTGAAGATGTCTGATGAATACGACAAACCTATATACACCAACGGGTCGCAAGCAATTATTTGGGCAGTCGGACCACTCAATCAAAGAAATGAAGTTTCTTTCCACACGAGTTACCTCAAAAGTGAGCTTTTTGGAAAATAATTTAATTGTTAAGCGCAGTTTGGAGTTTTTTTTTGTACAATTTCCAATGTGACATATGGAAATAATTTTAAATAATTAAGTCAATATTCTGTTACACAGAAAAAAGGTTCTAATTAAATTGGCTATACCCAGTCTTCACTTTGCGAAATTGAATCACAAATAAACACAAAATTATTGTTTGCATAGTTTACAAGAATGCGACAGATGAGTTAGGTTAGCCCACTTCTTGACATTTTTCCAAAAAATCAAATCTACTAATTGATAATATTTTTACTGATTTCTTTGAGTAATTTGATTTCGGTTGTAAATAAAAATAATTCAAATGGTATCGAAATTATTACGGAAAACATTTTTTTTAAAGATTTTTTTAAATATTTTATTAGCCCTCGAATACCCCTGAGCATTGGCTCCACTAAGGAGAAAATTTATTTCGAATTTGCACTATTTTGGCTCTAAGTTCCGGCAATGTTCGATGTGGGTCGACAAACCACTTCTCGATGCTTGGTAATATATTGTTTTGCAGTATTTTTTGATACTTGGAAGCAATTACGCATCACCAACGCAACATTTATTGATAAATTACTAATAAAAATTACTCTAGACCAATCTACTGGCGACTGAATTTTGACCATGCAATTTTGGACATTTTCAGTGGCTTTCCTTTTGTCTAAATGAAAACGTTTTAATGTTAAATACATTTTCAATTGTTATGAGTGTGATTTAATAAAATTTTAGTCAACATTTATGAATCCACTGCCAACTTGACAAATTTAATACAATTTCATTCATTATTAATATTAATTAGGTTCCTGATTGTAACCTTAGAAATATTAAGTGACGTACCCATACCTGTATTACGGAAGTAACTTTTAGAACTGAATAATAGAGGCAGGGATACTACAGAAATTTGATTCTGAATTTTGATTTTTCGTTCTAATTGTATTATAAAACTAATAAAAAGAAAGGCAAGCCCTCGAATTCCTTCATTTCATAGGCAGTTCCCTTTGTCCCATAATGTAGTTGCTATTCAACAATTACGAAATAAAATCGGCTGCAGTTATTTAAAAAAATAATAACTATTAGCAATAGCCGTAGCTGGAAAGGAAAATCGCATTTTCCCTAAATATAAGAGAGATTTTATAACATCACATAAACATTTTGTACCAAGGTAACGGATTTCTAAATTTACTGAACTTTTCAGGACGTTTGCTTTTAAACAAAAACGGTGTTTTTTTATGTCAGAAAGTTCGCGTATTTATATATTATAATAAAAAAATAGAAATAGAACGTTATTATAATTATATCTTGCAGCTGATAGTTTTATTGAATTCGCACGTCCTGCTAAATGGAACTGCCCTCTACCGGAAGGAGAACAACCTAAGACATCAACGTCATTAGATAACATCACTGAAGAAAAAGTTGCCGAACCAGCGCAACCATCGACAACATCAAAAATAAGAAACAACGAACGTAGACGCGGGTCAAACAGAGGTAGTTCAGTACAAAGGTCTTTATTCAAAGATATCCAAACTCCATTTTACCGCTCTCAGGTACATCTACAAGGCAACCAATTACCAATATAGATGATTCGGAAAATGCCAACACCAAACAACATACAAGGACGAGGGGGCCCACGAGAGGCACACAGAAAACTTCCAGGGTGCCCCCACCAACTCCCGTAAAACACATAAAATCTTGGGACATTCCAGCAATTCAATGCGACGAACCCGATGATGGAGTATTCTACGCTCAAATGGGACCGACTGGTGGTAAACGTGGCTATCCTGCAATTACAGGTTTGTTTGATTTTACGCTCAGGAATAATTATTTTAATTTTTTTTTCTAAATTCCGTGTTATTTTCAATTATTTTCTTTTACATTTTCTCGAACTTTGACGGGAACTCATGTCAACAAACTTGATTCTCCAATGATTGAACGATAACTGCTAACCACCGATTATTAAAAAAATATATATGGTTCTAATGGAGTAGATAGTGCTCCTGTTAATATAACATTATATCGCGACCTTAGCGCGATCACATTTGTGAAATCACGTTTCAGTAAGTCTACAAAATACGTAGATATAAAGCAAATAATTTAGAAAAAAATTAAGTCTTTTGATGGGAAATAAAGAAATACAGGACGACCTATTTAAGGAAGCGAGATATTACACATAGAAGCTCTAACCATGACGTGTCACATTGACAAAATATGTATGTATTAACGGTTTTCTTCTATCACACACGCTGCTCGAGATATTTGAAAAAATCCATGTGAAAATCGCCCTCGATATAGACGCGATGACGTCACTTACTATTACGACGTACGGTGCGCTACATTGTTTCAGATAAATATAATTTTCTCCAAAACCATTTACTCTATTGGCAAACTTTATCTACCACGGAACGTGCGAGATTCTGGGTTTTAATATCGATTTCCGTAATTTTTCCGATTATGTACAGGGTGTCTCGGTTATGGGCAAAAGATCTGAAGTACCGTGAAAATTGCCGTTATCGTGTATAAAATATTAGCTGTAATTGAAAAACTGTAAAAGATAGGAAAATTTGGCTTAAAACGTATTATGAACTGTATTGAGAGCTACAATTTTCGGATTTAGAGCTTTCGTCTACTATGCAGGGTGCGTATGTATGAGTATCCTATTTAACTTAATAATTTGATTTTTGATGATTATTTTTTTCTATATGTTCTTCATTCATCTTTCACCAGCACCTGCCTCTTTTTATATGAATTACCGATACCAAATCTCATTTTGATACACGAAATACCACATAGTATGGGAATCAAACATGTTGAGAGGTTGTTTAGAATTTACAATGGAATGGATTCGTTGTATTCTCAATTTTTTTAAATAAAATTTGCGCTTCGTTCGGTTACTGTTATTGTAACATGTTTTGTTTAGGACACGTTGGGTGGGGCATTTCGTGGTACATAAATGGCTTGCTGATCCCTGAAATACACGTGGTCAGGGGACAAACTTATACCTTCGTTGTTGAAGGAGGCAAGGACCCAGAAATTCCTGCCAAGTACCATCCATTCTACATCACTGATGACTCCGTAGGTGGTTACACATATAAAACGCAAGAGGAAAGAAAGGTTGGCGTAATTCCATAAAATATTTATTTTCTTGATAGTAATTTTGATTGTAGAATGTGAGCATATTTGCTGGAGCTCAAACGAGTAAGGATGGTACCGTATATCCAACTGGCACCGGAAGGTTGTGTCATTGGACCGAAACTAGTGATGTAGATGCTGACGATTACGAATCTTTTGGTGCCTACCAGAGAACTTTAGAATTAATATGTGATCCCGGAGAGCCTGGAGTTATTCAATGGACGCCAGATAATGATACTCCGGATACAGTCTACTACCAAGTAAAATTAAATTTTATTTATTCCGAATATTTTGAATACCGGACTAAAGCCAAAATTAGCAAAAACTTAAATTTACAAAGTTCGTTTCACGAGGATGGTATTTTAGCTTTCGCTTCATTTTTATATTTTGGATGCTACAACCGTTTATAAGCTCATAAATTTGTTTCAGTCTATTTTTAATCCTTTTGCATTTGTTAAGAAAGGTGAGGCAATTGATGACGTAAGTATAAGCCTTAGTGAAATTTATACTTGTAAAATTTTTATACGCCGCTCATTGTTTCTCCTGACTATACATACCATACATACATACATAATATAGCAAATATCCCTTTTCGTTCAGCAAATATTCCTAAGAATTAACATTAACTATTGACAAATACAATATTTACATATTAATAAGTATTGTGTGCTATTTGCTTGCGATGCGCGTACTAGAACAAACGCCTTCTCCAACCTTACTTTAATGTCTGTTTAGCGTAACCTCAAAAACTTTATTCGCTGTACTTCAAACAATATAACTTTAGGTACTTTCACTAGTACCACTATTTTTAAATGTTATGAATGAATTGAATAAAATAGTACAGTATGTTTACATTTAACTTAAATGGCCTATATTTTTATTTTCTTTATTCTTTATTTATATATGTTCTGTTTTGTCCGGTTGTGTTTAATTTATTTAACAAAGTTTTCTTGTCATTGCAGTGTTTCTCGCATCGGTACTTGGGGTGGAAAATTCACGTCCACGACTCTTGCGATACGAAAACAGCCGCGAGTGAATTAAAACCAACCATTGTAGCGTCGCCGACCCACACTTTTGACTCATTCTCAGACAAAACAGAAGCTGAACTAGAAACCAGCCCACCAGCGTCTGTACCAGCAGTGACAAGGGTAAATGAAAATAATATCGAGGACGTCATTAAGACCGATAAACCTTATCAAATTACAGTTTTAGAGCAGACCACAGATCCTACCTCAGTAGATCCTAGACCGGCTAGTGATCCGCCACAAGAACCATCACCACATCAGAATGATTCGTTACATCAGATAAATACGACCATGCAATCACATATCTCACGGGTCGCACCCCCAAATTTTCGACCGAGTCCGACATTAGAAGTGTCACTTGAAGAACTTCACGCTTTCGGCACATTTAGCACTACCACTCCACCACAGCGCGTCGCTCAAGGTTACATAATCGCACCGCCATTGCATTCGAAACCGTTTCAAAACAAACCTCTATTCCATACACACGCGCCCGTGAGACCCTCGCCTCCAAGACGCCACTTATCATCAAATCCCGCTAAGCAACCCTACTTTAAAGCCACACACCCCACACGATACGTTAAGCCACATAATACAAAACCACTGCCGAAGGTCATCGCCTTAAATCCCGTAACTAAATCTCCCCCAATTATATTATCCTCTCCTAGAACTGCGGGTGTGTCTGAAACTGATCTTTTGGTAAAAGACATTGAAATTTCCCCAATACAAGCTTCTACTGAAAGAGAACCGAATGTCCCGGCACCAAGCTATTTACTGTCAATTTCAAACTCCTCTGCAGATGTCCTCCGGCTACCGCTAGCTAAAAATAGCGGGTTCAAGCCTGAAACTATAGTCATCGAGAGTGGATTTAAGCCTATTATCGGCAAAGTTATTGAAAACAGAAATGACAATGACAGGATCGACCTAGAGTTGAATCCGGAAGGCCAAACTGGAATTATAGCAACGAAGGGCAAAAAAGTCATACCCATTGATAGTTTCGAACCTATCTTTATACCATCTCCCACAGATAAATCGTCAAAATCGCCAAAAACTTCAAAAAGGCCTCTCAAGAAGCACGCCTTGAAAATAATTTTCCGCACTAGACGTCTGGTCGATCCCAATTTCGAACCCGGAATGGCCGCATCAGAAAGAACCGATTCTTATTATTTACCTCCACCTGGTCACACAGAAAAACCCAAAATATTTGACCCAAAGCAACCATCAAACATAGATGTGGCAAGTCCATCCAGCATGGAGTTGGCGGCATCACCTCCCGATGTCGTAGTGACCTACGATGGTAAAAAGGTGTCGGGAGCAAGTTTAACTGCTAAAATATTTGACAAATCCAGATTGTTTGAACAAACAGGTTCCAAAGCAACAGAATTTATCAAAGCGCGACCTCAGTTCGGGCCGTTTCGAGGTGAATTGCCTCCGCTGGGTTCCGACGTATTATTTGACGGCAAGGAGCCTTACCATCGAACTCCCAAGGCGGGTGTACTAAGTAGAGAGCTTGACACTCCACTTCCGCCTCCACCAGGAAGCAGTTCTACAAGACTGACGAGAGTGGAAAGATCAGCTCATCATAATCCCGAGCACACCGCACAACAGTCTGTATTCAACAATTGGTAGTGGATCATTCGTGCTTACAATATCCTCATTCAAAATGCTGACCCTGGTTTTGATTTCCGTTATGCTTATTCGTTTTTAAGATTAAGTATTGTCGTGGTCTAGTTAAGTTTTCTGATTACAACGGGATGTTTTTATTCGTCCCATTTAATCTAATAAAAATTAGTCTTTGTGATCAGTATCTTTTAAGTATTTTTTTTATATTAATGCTGTTTGTAATAAATATTTTTAATACAATTCTGACGTCTTTTGAATGGCTCAACTACAAATGATTATTCGTCGCCCTGTACTAACCGGGCTGTTGGCTCTTTTCGATGTAGTCGGAATGTGTTCAACAGATTCTGGAATGGATGCAGAGGTTTTTCATTGGAAACCAAATGTAACCTTTATCAAAATTATTGGTTATTTTATTTGGCTGAGGTACAACGTTTTTGCAAAGTATTAGTGTAAAGGGCAGCCAGATAAGAATGCAAAGTAGTGTACTCTCGGAAACTATCTGTTGTCGATATTTGCAGTGGCCAAAAGACCACGGAAAATATTTTCGAATTTATAAGATGCAGGGGACATAACTGCGATCTTCAATTTTTAATCTCAACAAAAAAAAAAGATAAATTGATATAGAGAATTAATTTATTGCTTACGTGTCCAAAAAAGCATTGATTTTCACAAAGTTACAGAGTTAGGAGATTCTATATCACTTAGATCAGTTGAGGTCTTTTAATTTTGGCCTATGGAGGGTAAATTTAAAATAACGTTTACTTTATATATGGGCAAATAGATGGCAATCGATTTATTCCAAAAATTTGATAAGAGATTAACTTATTTTCATTTTTTTTTTAACAAAACACCCTGTATATTATTTATGGCCCGATGCACAATAATACGACCTTCATTGAAGATTTTTTTCTCTATATCTGCTTTCAAGGGTTTTCTTACTATCCTATATTTTCAATCTAAATATCACCTTAACTTTGTTTAAATAAATGAAATGGCAAAAATACACTTTAATTAGCACATGAAACCAAAACAGGAACATTGGAATTTAAAACGTAATAACCAGCTATATATATAAAAACATTTTTCTTCAGCCACTTAATCAACTCTAGTATTATTTGCGTACTAAACCTTCGAAGTGCTTCTGGATTAATAGTACACAATTTATTTTTAGTACAGCCATAGAAACATACTAGTTCGTTTAAACAGCCACGATGTGGAAAATCCAAGGTATACAAATCGGCTGATCGGAAATTAAGTAGAAAAAACTTTGTTGGGGTAGCATGAAATGTTTTCAGATATACAAAAACAAAATTACGTTAAGGATATTCTGTTTAAAATAAGGTAAGGAAGATAAATTCTGTATGATAGTTATCAAATACCCTGTACAATTGCATGCACATTTATAAGAACAATGCAAAATGCAAATACTACGTAAAAACAGGTTACTTCAAAATTTATTTCTTGCCCCACGAATCCGAGCATTTTCCGGATATTACCGCACGGGTTTGTGAGCAATCGGATGTTTCGGAGATTTTACCGCTCTGGTTGAATTTTGGCGTGTATCAATTCTGACAGACATGTCAGTGGACGTATATTCGTGTTGTTTTGCGAAAATGTACCCAAAACAACACGTTTCGTAAACTTTTTAAGTCACTCGCTTTTTTAACACTCGCTCCAGTGGTGCCAAATAAACTCGTGACTCAAATGCCGTTTACCACACTTGTTGCATAATATACTATTTTATAGTAATAGGTCGGTAGGTTGGTTTTTGACCCTACGATTAAATAACAAACAACTCCTTACTTTAAACAAGGTACCCGCCCTTTTGTTCGACGCATGTTTTTTTAAAACACCGTTTCAAAAATTAAAAAATAAGATTTTTTTTTTATAAGAACATGGGACCGGAAATGCAGTCTTGGTTAGTTTACAGTTAGACACAGGGTAGCTTTTGAAAAATCTTGCGTCGTTTTCAAGAAAAAAAACGTAAACCAGTTTCCTGCATGTCCCTGCACTTAAAATTTTTATTCTAGTTAGTTAAATTAGCCTCATATGACTACACATAAAACTGCTTCATTCTAACGAATCTGGATACAATGTTAATAAAAACCGATTAGAATTTGTTGCCAATTAGGGACATAATACAAGGCAAAATACTAAAAAAAAAAATGGACAAAAAAATTGTTTATATTGCTTAGATGTTTTAAAAATTGTTAAGTCAAAAAAATTCGGTAAGGTCCCCCCACCCCCGATTACATGGGACACAACTACACTTCATAGTTTTAACAAAATCGGTCAGTCGGTGAGAAAGATATTTATTAAAAACCCTTTTGTTTAAGTTTGACATGTATCTTGAAAACTACATATTTCCAAATCCATGTTTATATGTAAAAATTTTCTTTCTTAAATCGTTGGAACCCTGATAATGACCAAGAAATAAAACTTTTTTTATTTTAGTCAGGAAATAACTGTAAAACAGTCTGGTACGATATTTCAACAAAGTGACTAGAAGATTTTAAATGAAGAAGGCACCTTAACACACTTATCGTTGGTTGCAAGGCGGGAATCTTTGACAAATATAAAATAGATGTTTCTTTGCTGAACGGTGGGAACAAAAATCTAAAGTTGCACTTAAATGATTTATTGAATTGCTAACCTACATACACAAGTCAATACTTGAACCTTTTCTTTCACCCATGGTGACATAGTTAAAAATAGAAATAAGAACATTTAATTGAATGATGGGACTACTCTTAATCCTGGTGATTACCATTTTCCTTCGGGGCAGACCTGCTCCTGGACTGGGATCTGGACCTGGAACGTTTTTCGTTGGAACGAGAACGGCTACGGCTTCTCTTTGCTGAAGCCGAGCGCGATCTATGTGATCTGGAACGACTGCGCGATCTCGAGTTGCTCCTGTTGCTCCTTGAACGACTGCGGCGATCTCTGGATCGGCTCCTTGATCGACTGCGAGACCTGCAGGTAATTTATATAAAATTGACATGTGCAGATGTTAAAGGTGCCTATAGTTCTGACTAAGTGGGGCCATTCACATTGAATAATGTGAAAAACACATGAAGTGGTATTGGATTATCATATCAGAAATTAAAGCATCAGTAAATGAACATACTATGTATGTCCTAAGACAATCATTGAGTCCTTTTCTTAACTTCCAAACCAATTAAATTAAATAAAATGGTATAAAAGTATTTAGTTGTGTGCAGGTATTTGTCGTCTGCAAAGGAGGTAGAACTCACAAAAGCAAACTGAATCAATATTATGAAGATAATATGAAATTACATATTTGAATGCATTGATTTGGAACAATTTTTTGAAACAACCATATATTATCATTAATGGTTTAATGCAATAGCTTTAGCCAAAGGTAGCACCTAGAAAAACAATACCTGTTTCAACACTCAATACATATTCTGAAGTATAATTAAACACAAATGGGAAATACTTCTATAAAATATCTGACAATGTGGCTCTTTATAACTACATTTTGAAAATAGCCTGCTTGAAAAATTTGAAAAACAACTGCTTTCAAAATAACTACTGTGAATATTTTGTACTAAGAAGTACTATGGAAATTTTAAACAAAAACCATTTTGACAATTTATCCATAATCGTAAGTGGCTTATAGGTGTCTGACGGTGAAACGTAATTTTAGGAAATTATTAATTTGATATAGTACGCCTAGAGTTTTTACAGTTAAACTGCAGATAACTGAACATGGCAATTTTATGTCTCTAAAATAGTACTTTTTATAGGAATTTTTGACAAACCTCTTGCTCTAGAAATGTTTGGTACCATCTTTTCTTGTAACACAATCTTCAAATAAGCTAATGTCACAATAAGAAAACACTGATGACCCATATTTTTGCGAAATATGTGAATTAGTGGGAGCTGCCAAACTTGCTCAATACTCAATTTATTGAATCACGACTGCAGCTTATATAAAAATAGGAAACGCAAACCCTTCCCAAAAACAAATCTTTAAAACTTTTAACTTTACCATTTTTGAATTATAGTAGCCTATAAAATTTGTAAGTTAATTTTTTACCATTTATTTTCATTGTGAGCTTGTGAGAGGCGGTCGAGTGACATTGACGATAGTGCTAATTCAACTAGGGGTAGAAGACTATACTCTCACTGGCTCACATGTAGGGTAGGTAGAGTAGCTTTCTTGTACGTTTTGATTTAAGCAGTCGTGCGTGCAGACAACAGATCGAGCGAGCGGCGTCTCTACGCAGTTCGAAGAGTGTGAAGAGAGGCGTACACTAGTAGGTCGAGTCTCAATGTACTCAATGCTTTCGTTACCTGTCTATCGGCCACACGCTATTAACCTATAAACATGGCATCAACGTCAAGCCAATTTTTCTCAAAACAAGTTTAACAGTTCACTGTTTTTTTTTTAATCACTTCATTGTTTAGTAAAAACTGTACAACTAATAGGAAATAAGTTAGTCAATTTTGACCATGAACTATAGTAAACAAATTTAACACAGTTAATGAAAGAAATGTTGCACAGTGAACAAAATTTAAAAAAACCAATGGGATGTAAAACAACATTAAAATCAAAAGTTACCTATCACGACGACCTCTACGATATCGATTACAATCTCTAGCATAATGTCCTCGGTCTCCACATTCATAGCAACGATCATCTGGATGGAATGGACGCCCCCGAGATCTAGGAGGTGGGCCCCTAAACCTACCACCACCACTCTTACCATTTGACATCTCTACTCTAGCTCTCCGTCCACATATAGTCCTCCCATCTTAAAAAAAAAGTATTGCTTTTCAATTGCATTCAGAAATATGCATTAGTTACCTAATCCTCTGACCGCGTCCTCCGCATCTCTGGAATCTTCAAATTCCACAAAGGCAAATCCTGGAGGATTTCTGGCAACCCATACATTCCTTAGAGGTCCATAATACCGAAAAGCATCTTCAATTTCTTGTTTTGATGCGCTATTTCCCAAATCGCCGACATAAACTTTGCAGTCGGAATTATAACGCGACATTTTTTTTGCAACTGCTCGAAACTAAAACCAAAACGACTTATCGATCCATAGACGCTAAGTCACAAACCGCCCACAAGTCAAACAAAAAAGAGGGTTGCAATAAAATAAGTATAATTTAGCTGAAGATAGAAGAAAACAATGCCTTATGGGACTACCGGCAAATTTACTTTAAAAATGTATAAGAATCACTTACGAAACTGGAAGCGAAAACCCAACAAGCACAACCGCCATTAACAAAACGGAAAAGAACATAGATCAAAAATGCCGAAATGAATAGACATGATTTTTTTCAGTGATCCATTTGGTCACAGACCACACACCAAAATATTGGTTGAAAAGATGAGAAAACAAACTTCGTTCAACTTTTAACTTAACGCATTTAATTTTTGGTAAAAAATAATAGTATTTCACTTATAAATAAAAGCTATATAGATAGTTCTCAAAATTTTAACCACTGTATATAATTCTAAGCCAGATCCGCGGCATTCTTTGGTACATTCTCACCATAGTATTAATTAATTCTGTGATCCTCTCATGTCTCTCTCTCGTAAGGGCTTGTGGGTCGTGATTAAAGTGGTTCTCTGACAAATCATTCTATGAAATGCATAGACATATTTATGCACATAATTGTCAAATGTCAAAATACCATAAGGTGCTAAAATCTACCGCGAACATCCGTGACTAAAGTACTGGAAATGAAGATTATAACATTTTATAAAGAAGCAGATGGGATCTATAAATGCACACGGATAAAAGAGCACACGGCTAGGATTCGACGAGGAAAAAATAGTAAAACGTAGGCTACAATATTGTTATTACGGGAGGGTATAGAGGGAGGGAAGCGATCTAAACCCATGGATGCTATAGCTAGATTCATTGGTTTTTATGATAACCGCGTTCTTTACTTAAAATTTGGATCGAAGCCCTAAATACTAAATATCATAACCTCTACACTAATTTCCGTTAATTTAGAATTAAAAATTAGACAACGCAATTCTCGTCAGTGAAGCAATTAGTTGACAAGGTCAACAGTTTTCAAAAACATTCGTTCTGATTTATCTAATCGAAATATATACTTGTCTTCTAGATAACAGGCAGCAGCCGAATGAATGAATAGCTATAAGGTTCATAATTATGTTTTAGAAGCATTAAATGAATAGCGAGGTCAGTTGGTGACATTGGTAAAGGTAAGAGTTGTTTTTAATTTAATTGATTTCAGGATCCTTTACTTTACTTTTCTTGATTGTTTTTTAGAAATAGCAATGAAATTTCATTTAATTGTTTTTTGTTCATTGTTATCAAGGTAACTTTTATTTTTATATAAACAATAGAAAAAATATATTTTTAGCGGAATGTCGTCATTAAAGTCAGAAGATATATCAGTAGAAAAAAGAAGGTTGCATGTGCCTCCATTGGAAGAACTTGCTAAAGGTAATGTGGGTTATTCACGTTTTACGATACGCACAATTACGGCCGAAAAATTTTGCTTTTGGCGGTGTAGGGGGGTTGTTTATTCTAGTTAATTTTTAAAATTAATTTCATATCATACAGGTTGTCTCAAAACTGCTAAAAATAGGAAGTCATATTTTTGAATTTTCAAGTCAATATGAATGTCTGTTTTATTAACGTTTATGATATCTACGGTTTTTTAAATAAATTTGAGTTTTGTAAAAGTTAACCTAATTATAAAGTTTCCAAATATTAAAGCAGTAAATGTAACAGGAAATTATTTTTTCATAGCAAATTCTTCGGGTTTTCACAGAATACCCGAAATTATAATATAGCGAATTTCGTTTGCATTTCATGACAGTCAGTGCACACTGAGGGTATTGTTATTTTCTATTAGGCAATATCTAAAAAGAGACGAATTCGCTAGTAGATGATTTGAAATAGGTGACTGGTATTTACCACTATAGACACTCCTCATACGTCACTTTCGGTGATTGTAAATGACAGCTGATCAAAAGATGAGGGTGTTCTATTTTGATGATTGATTTTTTGATAATAGACGACCCTATACTGTATACTTTTTGTAACTTTTATACTTCTATCGGGACAACCTGTATCATATCAAAGTAATTTTAAAAAGTAATAACCGTAAAGGCCCCTATGATTACTTTTAAACCAAAAGTAAAACTTTTTAAAAGCCTCATGACAGTATTCCAATAACTTCAATGATATTAAATAAAATTATACAGTAGCGTGTATTCATTATATTTCAGTGTTCAATTCAGAATTAATTAAAAACTTCGAAGAAGTTAAGGTAGAAGTAACTGACAGCCCTGATTTATCTCAAAAGCCTTTTACACTTGCAGATAAAGGTATGAGAAACTATTCATTTTGCTTAATCAATTGTTAATGTTTAATTAAATATTTCAGGTTTAAATGGAAAAACAAAATTAATAGAAATTGGTGGTGTACCTTATTTAATACCTTTGGTTAACAAAGATAAAGTGTATGATTTAAAAGACGTTGCAAATTTAATAGATTCTAATCCTGCTTTTGTTATTGGTGCTGGTGCTGGACCTTATCACTATGCGGGAGTTAATTGCGAAGTACCTAATTTTATTCTAAATAAGTAGTGTATGAGGTGTCCTATTAAAACTTTCGGTGTTATCTCGGGAACTATTAGCTTTATATGGCCTGCGTAAAAAATATGTTCCGAAAAAGGCCATGAAACATTGCTAGTTCACGCAACATCTGTGGCGAATAAGAAAATGAATTTTTGCAAAATTTTGCCTTACCCTATGTTGTACGTTATGAATAATATTAATAACATGCATTTGAAAGTAAAAGTTAGGTTAAAAATATTACGCGTTTTTTTTTTAATTTAAATGCAACAGTAGATGTAGTACTAGGTAGTAGTTAAGACTGAAAACCTTAGCTTGATATCTATATTTAAAGGAAATATATTGGTAGCGCTCTTTTTTGTGAAAATTCTCAAAGAATATGAGAAAAAAACAATGAATTTATTTTGCTATCGATAATATTTTCTTAGTTTTTTTCATAATTATACCGGGTTTTAAAAATAAGATTGTTGAGGAATTAATTTTTCGTATTAATTACTATTTTTGCAAATATCCTCAATTTGAAAATAACATGTAATGCAACAAGTTCGATAAATGTCATTTTAGTCACGAGCTTGATTTGGCAAGAGTGAATCGCAGTTTGGTCTAACCTGATAAAAGTCAAAATAGGATGGCTAAAACCTACTGAAAACATCCGATCGCTCCCAAACCCGTGATTATAGTACCGGAAATGTTCGAAATAACCCTATGCCTGGCGTAACGACGCTGAAATCTTAGTGACACTTGCGGCACGGTTGATCGTTGAGTAGAAAAAAATTTATTAACATACGGTTTTCGCTGACTTTGTAAGGTTTAAAAAGCACTCAATGTTGTTTAATACGGAGCTAACATTTAAATAAAAAACAGATCCAACCCTCTCTCATTTACCTTTTCCATATTCACAATTTTGAAAACTGAATATAATTTAATATTTTTTTTCAGCATCCTGCCCTATTAATACTTTTCGAGTTACAACTGAAATTTTTAGTCGGACAATCGGTATAGGGTGTACAAGTTAGGATATTTCTATAATAACTATATAAACTATGGAAACTTCCCATCGTCTTTCATTTCAATGTTTTACAATCAAAGTTAAATCAAAGCTTATTGGCATTTTGTGACATGCTGCATATCGTTAAAAAGAGAAAAAACTCTTATTGTAAACTTGATCTTATATCCAAAAACCAACGAAATTGAAATTTTATTGGTGCTATTCTATTCTAAGAATTTGTAAAGATCTTTTTTGTATCTTGAAACGATCGAGAATATGCCGTGCCTTACAGTTACCGAAATCTATAGAAACATTTATATTTGCTCACCCTGTGCACACCGTTTAGGAACGTATATTCAACTAAACTAGACTTTAATTAGACTACAATAGAAATCTTTGTCAATTTTGCCCTTTAAAAATTTATCTGCTCGTAGGGAATTATCAATATAAGTATAAAAAATGGAACTGTAAATCAACAGACGAGAATTTCGAAAGTGGTGGACGTGGACGAACACTATCTACAAGAGAAATTACCGGACAGTGAAACTCGAATCTCTTTGCTTGGAAACTTCTTTGCCTCAGAAGGAAAATCTGGAAAGGTATGCTATTAAGTAAATTCAAAAAACCTTGGAAAATTAACCTGAATCGTTCATGGGCTGCGGAAAATACACTTTATGCAAGAGTTAGGGACACTGTTTTTTTCTACGAGGATATGAAAAACAATTTATTTCTGTAGCAATAAAGAAGCGACAATTTATTACTAATTAATATATTAATCGTGAATGATAATGGATGAATGAATAGATTTGTTGAAATTTGACATTTTCGAAAAAGCTTGTTATAAACCCGGAATTTTTTTGTTTAACTTCGAAGATATCTCAAAAAGCTATTAGATAATGAGGCCGCTAATACTGTAACTTCACACACTGAAATGTTAATTTTTCTAAGAATTTAATAGGATCAGGGCATATTTTGACAGAAAATTGAAGAAAAATGCCACATCATAACGGAAAATTGTCAGTAATCATGTTGGTTTTTGCACGTACACGGTTTTATTCATTTGAAAGCGAGATTTTTTCACAGGTTTAAGTTGAGTTTTGTTTTTTTTTTGCATTATAATACAATAATATTCGTAAAATTTAAACGGTATGATCGGCTCATTCCATTAAGAACTGCTACAGTAGAAAATGGTACATATTTATACATTTATACATATTTAGTCCTAACTAAAATGCAATATTTTGAAAACTATAAATATTCGGAATATAGGTACACCTTTTCTTGTAAGTAAAATAAAAGTAAACTTCTCAGATTTTTTAAATTTTAATTTAATTTAAAATTTAAACGACTAACTTAATTTATTAAACAGGCCTTTTTCTAAAAAGAAGAAGTCATTTAAATGTAATTTTAAAAGATTCCGGTGTATAGGTAGGTCTATTGACAAAAAAAAATTGAATTCTCAAAAACACTGAAACATGGGTATAGGATATTATATATGAATATAGAATTTTAAATTAAAAAAATATTTAAGATAAGGGTCCCATTTTCGATATAATCTGCATATAAAAAACATTATTTTTTTTACATTGAAAATTCGCATTAGACTTAAAAATCTCCTAAAAACTGTTTTTATCTTAATCACAGCTGATAAAATTGTAATTTTGTCTTATTTAGAAATATCTAGGAATTTTTGTTACTTTCACAAGAAAGTGGGACAAGACAAAGAAACCTGAAAAATCGAACTCAAATATATATCGGATATATACAAATGTGATGACAATATATTCCGGCATATCATTCGTTCGTTTGTTGAACTCCTACTCGAATTCTGCAGACGTTTGCCAAGATCTCACATGGCATTGAAAAATTGAGTGTGCGAAGTGATTTCGGAGTGCGAGCATTGAAAATGGGCAAGTGAGATCTTAGCGAAACGTTTGCAGGATTCCAGTCGAAATTTGACTAACGAACGGATGATATCCCGGAATATATTGTCATCATATATCGGATCAGATATATGTTCGCAAATGGTTAATTTAGTTTCTGAAGTATCAACTCACTCTTCCAGAACCAGATATGGGCTTTAGTAGTATGTTGTATAGATTTAAAACTCAATTGCAAAACTTTTTACAGGCGCGAAGAATAAACTTTGAAGAATTTTAGGTTGTTAAAGTGCATGCAAAGAAACGCACAGGTTCCCAAAATTTCATTGAATGTCTCAGAAACGCCATTGAAAAAGAGTATGGCGAAAAATTGGTCGGCGTGGGTGGAACATTTTTGATTGCAAATGGAAAGGCAAAGCAGCATGTTATGAGAGACTTTTCCAAAACTGAGCTTGTAACCGATGAAGATGTAAACAATTGGCTTAAATTTTATGAAATGTCTGCTCCTTTAGTGGCTGTCGGGACTTTTGTTAGCAATGATGGGGTCAGCATTACTTTATAAAATTGAATTGATGAAGAGTGTTCAATTGTAGGGTGATTTAGACCTGAGAGTACAGCATTTTCACAGTTTTAGTCATCATGGTGATGCAGGACACTATCATTACGATGTCACACCACATGAAGTGGAATATCTGGGCTATTTTAATACAGCCGAAGAAATATATCGTCTTGATAAACCAGTTGAAACTCACAAAGTGGGTCGGGACTAATATTTAATATGAATAAATTGTGGTATTCGAACGTTTTTTTTTTTTGCATAAAATCCTAAATTTTCTATTTGCGACAAATTAAACATCATCGCTTCAATAATTTGGACGTGTCCAGTTGTCTGAGGTTTTTACCGGTTTTATTATTATTATTAGCATCGCATCGCATCAAGTGAAAGTAAGCGGGAATGTGAATTAGGACTTAATATTAAATGATGAATCGTTTCTATTTAGTGTGGCTTTAATACACGAAAAACCAAACCAAAACTGGCAACGTTATCATCATGCAACGTCTTCATTTGGAAGTGGTGATTTAATAACTATTTTGAACCAATAAATCGCGGGCCAAAACTGGCAATGTTGCTATTAGTCATTTTCTAGAAAAGTAAATTTTTATAAATTGGTTTTTGTTATTTTTTATTTTGTTAAAAACAAAACATGTAATTTTAATTGGTTCTACTACAGGAACCAATTTATTTTTTGTTTGGATGAGAAACCGGTAATCTTTTTCTTTAATGTTGAACTTTAACTTTGAACTTTCCATAAAGCCAACGGGAACTATACAAAACGAACGCAAACATGAAAACAATACAATTTCCAACTTCTCTTGCAAACTATAGTAATACTTTTTTTCGCCAGAGGTCTCATTGAATTGTAAAATTGCAATAGTTTCAAATGTACTTTGGAAAGTTTATTAGGCCTGTCAACCAACGCAAAACTATCATCCGTTATCTATGTATGATATACGTCGGAGATCAATACATACATATAAGATATTTGAGGTTATGAAACGTGTATAAGATGGTTGAAAAATTTTTATATTTTGCGTATGGAAGCAATTTGTTATCCCATAGGATACATATAAACAATCCGAGTGCAGTAAGAAGGGGAATAGGCAAATTGAACGTAATGGCAAATTAACAGCCAAAGCAACGAATCAAAACATTAAGTTGTAGGATTATCGATTAAGTTTTGTGACTTATTCTAAACGGTGGGGTGGTTGTTCGGCAACGATAGTGCCTAAACAATCTAGCGTTGTTTGGGGGGCAGTTTGGGAACTCGATAATTGCCATAGGGAAAGTCTTGATAGGTAACATTCCTATTAAAAATTTGGTTTTCTACGTTTCAATAAAAATTTTCCTTTGGAATAATTTGTTTTATGAAAAATTGACCATGTATAATATTTCAATTCTTTTAGACAAGAGGGAGTTGATAAAAATATATACATTCCAATATCAGTACAAATAGAATTACCAGAAGGTGGCTTAACTCTTTGCAGATCTTATCGACAAACAGCTGATCCTGTTGATGATGCTTTGGAAAATTTACCCCTAGATTTCCGTCCATCAGAACCTTACTTGAAAACAATTATTAAAGGAGCTGAAGAATCTGGTTTACCTTCTGATTATTTAGATTTTCTGAAGACAATTCCTCACAATGGATATCACGGGCCAGTAGATGTTCAGATGCCATTGTATTATCATTAATTTTAATAAATTGTTAAGCTCCCAAAAAGTATGTATTTTTATGTACATAAAATGTAAAATTTGCTTTTGTTGAATTTTACATGGAGCAATATTTTGAATAAAAATTGTTAATTCGTTGTTTTTGTGTAAAGGTTGCATTATATGTTATTTAAAGATTGTTCCTTTGAAACAGAATTATCAGAGCGACATTCTGGAGTTTTGTACATTACATTGAGATTATGTTAGAATGTCTGTCACTCTTAGTAATTATTAGTTTGCTTAGATTGACCCTAATCACTCTATTCTATTTTTGCCAAAAATAACATACCCCTTCTAAAAAGTCATTTAAAAGGATGTAAATTAACCTCCTTTGGAACTACGAACGTTATAAGCGGTTGGGTCCAAAATGTGACGATTTTATTTGTTTTAAAAAACTTCAATTACTGTTATCTGCATTTGACAATAGGTACAGATAATAGAAATCGTTTAGTCCCTAACTAAATATAAAAATAACTGTTATTTTTCGTTTTATAGAAAAATATGGTATAGGTAGTGAAATTGAAATTATAAATTCAAATAAAACAGGAAAAAAATAATCAGCATCTCAAAATTAAGTTGAAGGAATGTACGAATCCAGCACAACATACCTACCGGTATGCCGACTTTTGAGTAAAACGTGGTTGGTTTCAGTTATACGTCACGCGTATAAATAAATATAAATGAATATAATGAATTTCCATGAGTGGCGTAGTTTAAAATTTAGGAGATTAATTTATTTAAAACTTATCAACTTACTAAATTACAAAATATTTGATAGCTTTAGAAGAGCATCCATATGTGGAGGTCACATCATTCCTTTAAGCTATAAAAGAGTAAAGTACATAATTTTTGAATGTGAAAATTTTCCATCTTGAACATAAGAGAAATTTTGGTCGATAGGGGGCTTTATTTCCAACAAGTCATAATAATAATTTCTTTGTTAGTTAAAACTAGCAGCCACTAGCAGATCTTTAATATTCAGTTATATGTTTTGACAACATTAAAAGTTATAGAGAAGAATGGCACAGAATAATCAGCAGCAATTATCAGTTTTTAAAAAGAACTTAAGGCACAGTAACATATTGCCACGTGCCATATTGTAAAGTGCTTCTGATTCTCAAATCAAGTCATATAAGTTCCTTGAAAAGAGTTACACTGAAGCATCTTATGTTGGACGCCATTGCACAAATAAAAAATAAATTTTATCCTATTAAAAAATGCAGCATATGTTTTTATTTAATTTGTTGTGATTTTTTCATTTAAAGTCTTATTAAATAATTCATATATTTATTCAGTTATATTTTCACATTGTGTTCGTTCTCTAACGTGCCACTATATCTTCTATGAACTTCAAAAAGAGTTATTAAAACACTATATAAAATGCTATTATAATTAAAGGTAAGTCGTAGTTGTGGCATAAACCACAATCATGTCTACAAAACCAATCTGGAGTGTGCACCTGGAAAAAAATATTTATTAATAGGATATCTTCCTTTTATAATGTTTCATGTGAGCTTACACTTTGAAATATCCTCAGCATTTCTGGAAAAGCAATTTTTAGATATTTTTGCAGTTTTAAGAGTCACATTTCGTGAATTCGACTTTTACATTTTCAATAGAGGTTAAACCTAAAGTTTATAAAAACAAATTGTTTGCATCGAGTTACGGGCACAAATTCGGAAAAAAATTGCTGGTATCGTGTCTATACTTGACTCCCGAAGCAAAATCTTTGAGTAATCATATCAGGTACATCAAAACCAAAAGTAATCAAAATTATTAACCAACACTATAAAAAAAATGGGGGTGTAAATTTTAAATAATTTACATTTACGTGTCTACGAAGTCACACGAAGACACTGTTTGTAAAAAATCTGGTACTACCGACAGGCCGTACGTTTCTATGAGTAAAATCTTACATATTTAGGCCATGAGTATATTAGATAACTAAAACCATGTAAGAGGGCAAAAAAATAGCTAAAATCCTCTCATTATAATAAGATATTCTGCGAGAGAACGCTTACCACATTCCAATTAATTATCTATGGCAGTTTTGAAAATGACGTGACGTGGCTAACTGAAAATTGTGATTTTTCCGTGGTCTCAGGTGGCAGTGCGGTATTTATTCATCATGAAGTTGTTACTAGTATTTATTTTTTCCACGATTTCCCACATTTATGCCCAGGGAAATACTCTGGTTTTATTGGAGAACCAAGTTATTAAAGAAACTCACTCCTTATTTTTCAAATCTTTGCAAGGTAAGCAGAAAATTTTTGCTGCAACACTGGACCCGGCTTTTCAATTGTTTCAGAAAGGGGTTACACGTTGACTTTTAAAATAGCTGACGATGCTTCACTAGTTTTGTCGAAATATGGTGAATATATTTATGAACATCTTATAATATTTGCACCATCTGTGGAAGAATTTGGTGGCAGCTTAAATGTAGATGTTATCACTCAATTTATTGATAACGGTGGGAATATATTGGTGGCCGGCAGCAGTGTTACTGGGGATGTTCTTAGGGAACTTGCTTCTGAATGTGGATTTGAGGTAAGCAGGGGTAAACTGCAAATTTAATTTTATTAAATACATTTGAACTATTTTAAGTTAAGTATGTGAAGTAGTTTTTTATTTTTCAATTTAGTAATCAATATTTGGAAGAAAAAATTATGTTCTGTAAATTTAGGTTGATGAAGAAGGTGCATTTGTCATTGATCATTTGAATTATGACATTTCTGATGAAGGGGAGCACACTAAGCTTGTAGTTTCCACAGATAATCTTATTGATGCACCAGTTATAGTTGGCTCTAAAAAGGAGCTTGCCCCATTAATTTATAAAGGAACAGGTTTATTGGCCGACTCTGATAATCCTTTGGTCTTAGCATTATTAACTGCTGATAGCACAGCATACAGTTATCAACCCAATCAACCAATCAAAGAGGTATTTCTTGTTCTACAGTCACACACAATTCATCCTCTAATGCATTTTTTTAGTACCCTCATGCTGTAGGCAAGGACACTATTTTAATTGCAGGATTGCAGGCCAGAAATAATGCTAGAGTTGTGTTTAGTGGATCGCTAGCATTCTTTTCTGATGAATTCTTTACTTCTTCATTGGAAAAAGCTCATGTGAGTTGCACTAATGTGATATTTTAATGGTAGTAATTTAAAAAATTTTAATATTAGGGAGGTGTCAAGGCAGAAAAATCAGGAAATGAAGATGTTGCTATTGCGATAAGTCAGTGGGTCTTCAAGGAACATGGAAGATTAAGAGTTAAATCAGTAAATCATCATAAGGAAGGGGAAAAGACGCCACCTCAGGACTATACCATTATGGATGATGTGGTAAGTATACTAATTTCTATATTGCGGTGGCCCATTACAAATGCAAATTGTAGGTTTATACCATTGAAATTGAGATTTATGACAGTGGAAAGTGGAAGTCATTTACTGCAAATGATATTCAGTTAGAGTTTGTAAGGATTGATCCATTTGTTCGCACAACCCTCAGGAGACAGGCGTCAGGTGCATATGAGGCCAAGTTTAAAATCCCAGATGTATATGGGGTTTACCAGTTCAAGGTGGACTATGATAGGGTTGGTTACACAAGACTGTTTAGTACAACACAGGTTTCTGTGAGACCCTTACAGCATACTCAGTATGAACGATTTATTGATTCTGCATACCCATATTATACAGGGGCATTTTCAATGATGCTGGGGGTTTTCCTGTTTTCATTTGTATTTCTGCACATGAAAGATGATGAGAAGAAAAGCAAAAATGAATAAATTGTAATTATTACTTAGTATATAATAATAAAGATTTAAATTAACTTTTTTTTTAAATTTTTCTCTAATTTAAATTTGCTTTTTTAATAATATTTTAATGATTTAATATAAGAAGCTAACAAAAGAAAAAGTAAACTGCAATTTTTACAGAATTTATTAGGAGCAAGTCATAAGAACAAAATGAGAGTTATGGAGATTACAATTTCATTAAAACGTGCTCTAATGGATACCCTAGTGTGAAAGATCTCAAATGTTTGTCATCTCTCAAAACAGATACACCATGGGTTGGTAATTGCAAAACATTTTACAGACAATTGAACTATTTTGATATGTGTATACATATATTTTTTTAATGTTATGATCCCCTCATTTTTAAATAGCTTATTTGGTACAATCGATATTTTAATTATTTAAAAATGCAATAGGTTGGCAATGAATATTTTTGCAACCAGTTCATGATAGGCTAACTTTAATCGCATGAATAGAAGAATATAATTAATAGAAATATTCAATTTTAAGGCCTGGTGATTTCTTGTAAATAGTTAATTAAATAAATTGGGTACAGTTAGTCTTTTTCCACCCTATGGAATAGAGTAAAACTTCATCCAGAGTACTTTTTATGAACAAATAGAAGGATAAGAGAGAGGGACGCTGAGTTTCAGACACCTTTGCTCAAAAGTTAATTTTTAGCAGTTTTCAATACATAATTTTAAAAGTTAATGGATTTAATGTCATTTACGTCCAGCTCTACTAATTTCAAAATGATGTTCAAATTTTCTAATTAAAAGATTTAAATTAACTTTTTTTTTAAATTTTTCTCTAATTTAAATTTGCTTTTTTAATAATATTTTAATGATTTAATATAAGAAGCTAACAAAAGAAAAAGTAAACTGCAATTTTTACAGAATTTATTAGGAGCAAGTCATAAGAACAAAATGAGAGTTATGGAGATTACAATTTCATTAAAACGTGCTCTAATGGATACCCTAGTGTGAAAGATCTCAAATGTTTGTCATCTCTCAAAACAGATACACCATGGGTTGGTAATTGCAAAACATTTTACAGACAATTGAACTATTTTGATATGTGTATACATATATTTTTTTAATGTTATGATCCCCTCATTTTTAAATAGCTTATTTGGTACAATCGATATTTTAATTATTTAAAAATGCAATAGGTTGGCAATGAATATTTTTGCAACCAGTTCATGATAGGCTAACTTTAATCGCATGAATAGAAGAATAGAATTAATAGAAATATTCAATTTTAAGGCCTGGTGATTTCTTGTAAATAGTTAATTAAATAAATTGGGTACAGTTAGTTTTTTTCCACTCTATGAAATAGAGTAAAACTTCATCCAGAGTACTTTTAATGAACAAATAGAAGGATAAGAGAGGGGGACGCTGAGTTTCAGACACCTTTGCTCAAAAGTTAATTTTTAGCAGTTTTCAATACATAATTTAAAAAGTTAATGGATTTAATGTCTTTTACGTCCAGCTCTACTAATTTCAAAATGATGTTCAAATTTTCTAATTAAAAGTTTCCTTACACTTAAAATTTTTGGTCTTCAGTTTTTGGATCAACTATCTAGCGGTGGTTTGGTCAAAAAAATATAAAACAGTTCCATTAGTATTTTATTTACAGAACATTTTGGAAATTTGTTTAATTGCTAATTATATATTCAAAGATCCAAAATAAACGCCAAAGTTTCTATCATTAGGTGGTAATATCAACGGCTCCCTAATAGGCTGTCTTTTCCCTTACCATTGCCTTTATTCTTTATACCATTTAAAAATAGGAAAAAGGAATGGTGAATCGTGTAATTAGTATATATCTTATTACCATCATCAGCATATGGGTATTAAAAAAAAGTTGTTTTTTGTTCTTGAACACAAAAAAAATTTACTTCTTGTCTAACTTTAAGAAACCAGAAGTGTTTGAAAAGTACTTGGCATCAGCCTCATTCGCGTTAACTTCTGCCGCTTGCGGGTTAACAATCTCCAATCCCTGCAAGAAATTGTTAAATAAATCATTTGAAAAGGAGACGCTAATAATTAAATTTAAATGTACCTGAAGCGGGGTGAACGCCACACTGGAAGCGGTACCTGAGATTTGCTTTTTAACAGTGGTACTTCCGCCCCAAATTTGTTGCTTTTGCAGATTCTTCTGTAATGTTTTCGAAATCCTTACTTTAGTTTTTTCATCCACTTGAGGCAGTCTTATTCTGCCTGTTCCTGCTTTGCCTATTGTGCCCCTGGTATAACCTAAATCTTCTTGGTATGCATCATCTTCAATCTACATAAAATCAATATTGAAGAGAATATTCACTCTTGAACTCTATATACTAACTTCAGCAAAATTCATTCTATTGGCGTGCTTTCTGAATTCAGTCAGAGCATATCTTTCTTTCATCTTCCTTACTCTTTTTCCACCCCTCTTCTTTTTTGACTGATCTATTGGTTTTGGTAGTGGTTTTACGAATTTAACTGGAGGCGGCTCTTGTAACTTATCTAACTTGCGTTCGATTTCATCTCGTAACATTCGTCCAATCCTGCCGTCCGTACTTTCGTGGCAGGCATCTACTCTAGCGGCTAAAGTGCATTTGGTTGCTACCAATCTGGCTGCTTTTCTTCTTAGATCCTAATCAAATAAAGTTTATGAATAAACAACTGAAACAAATATGATCGATTTAGTATATTTACCGGTGGCGTGTTTTGAACTATTTCGGAGTAATAAACGAATCCTGTGTGAGGCAACATTGTAACCTGGCTAAAACCTGCCAAGGTTTTCTTTTGCTGCCCTAACAGTTGAACATTGCAGGCCGGGATTTTAGATAATCTAGTCAGTCCTCCTGCAACACCCATTATTTTTGCAGCAATTGATGCTCCAAGAATTATCGATATGTTTGGAGCTATGAATGTCATTCTGCTTTCTACATATTCAAAGATTCTTAACTTGAAGTTGTTTAATTCCATTGCCATATCACAAGCCTCATTTATCTGTTCTTTTTCAAACTTTGTCAACAGCGTCCTAGAATGTGTGTAGTAAATCCTTGTATTACCATTTTATAACAAATTTTAGCATAACCAAGTACATTAACTGACATATTTATTTATTAACTTATAATTGACTTGAAGTTTTAACCATAAATAAATTACTTATTTCATTTAAATATAAGGTCATAAATAGATATAAGTTAATTCTAACAATAAACTGAAAGTATTATAAATTTTCGGTCTACGCAGGTTGGCTATAAGAATATCATCAATATGGAAAATAATTCCCTAATATAAATTCATTATTCTTTTAATTTAGCGGTTGCACTCTCCTATGTGATGTTTGTTTAATATAATTCATGGATTTCTAGTTAGTGAGGCCATACACTCTACTATCCTTAGTCCACTTAGAAGTAACAAATATTTCTGTAGAACATAAATGGCCACCAGATATTTTTTATTCAAATTAACAAGCAGTCGCAATGGAATCTGATAATATTAGGAGCGCAATATTTTGTATCTATAGACCTCAAATATTTTAAATTCAGTAGGTATCAAATAAAGTCTTTTTTAATTTGAATTTTAACAATTTAATACAGAAAACAGAACAGTAAAAATAATGTCTGGAGGCAGTGAAAAAAAGCTTATCAGATTCACAAAATGACAACCTTTATCAGGCAGTCTACATTAAGAAAAAGATAGAATATTATAAATGTAGTAAGTAGTATAATATATTACTGATATTATAGTTTTATTATGTTTTTTTTTAATAAACACTACAGAGTAACTGTAAATTCAAAGTATGTAAGTTAATGGTATTTGAAGCATTTTTTGATAATGAATAGTCAACATTTAAACATGCTTCAAACAACAAATCTTAAATTTGGCGAAATGATAAAATATTATTCTTTGATTTAACTGTTAATTTGAAGTGGTTTTTCGCTACTCACCCCTGTGTTGTGGATGCTGTCACTGATACAACCATAATAGTGGCCTGAGTAAGAAATTGCTGCAATACTTCATTGTTTTTTGCTTGATCTAAATCATTGCCCAACTCTTTCACAGTTCTCACATATTCTAGTGGACTCACAACTAAGGATTCCAACTCGGGAAATCGTTTTTGATATTTATCTCGAACAAATTTGTGTACCGTTAAAATTTCGTTGTCAATATCCTGTGCCATATCATTGGCTTCAACTATTAGCTGATATTCTGGGTCTGCTTCCACAGGGCCCACAATATCTATTGGTTTTCGATGCTGAGTGGAATAGCTTTCAACTTGTTTTATTATAAGTTTTAAACGATCAGAATCTCTCAGTTTACATAATTCCCGAACTGAATTGATTTGTGCCGTATCTATATCCATTGTTAACTGCTTCAAATCAGGCTTCTCTTCTTTAGCTTCAATCGTTTCTTCACATTCCATAGTCTCTTCAGAGCCCTCATCTTCATGATCATTGTCTTCCAAATCAGCCAGTAATTCGTCAGCTAGAGACATTTTCAAAAAGTAGGGTTTAGAAAATGGGCACAGACCACTAAACTAATTATTTTCTGTATGTTCAATTCAATTCAATGATGCGTTTCACAGATAGCTGTTGATTTTTCTGTATGTATTATGTATCTTCTTCTTTTTTCTGGCTGGCAAAATACCACTACGTCTAAAGGAACTTTCGGTGTCGAAAATTAATGTAATTTTAATCGCTGCTTTTAGCAATTAACAACTTTCACAGTTTGATTTATCACAATTTTCATATATATAAATTTGTTAAAAATAAAATTTATAATATTACGAGCGCAGCGAAGCGAGTGTTTAATAAGTGTTGCATACTATACTTTTTCTACGACCGTTAGTTTTTGGGTACATTTTCGCAAAACAACACAAATACATTCACTGACGTGACCGTCAGAATTGACAAACGTCTCAATTCAAGGTGAAAAACATCCGATTGCTACCATACCCGTGCGGTAAAATCTCGGAAATTTCCGAAGTATCTCAGGTCCGTGGGAAATGAAGGATATGGTAGTATATAGAAAGAAAATACAATGTGCCCTAGGCTGGGTCATTTGCACATTTTTTGGTATCCGCCGAGGATTTTCCTTTTGTTCACAAACCAACACGTGAAAAGAAATGTAACCAACAAGCTAATCTAAAAGGATTTTGATCTATACAAAAAAAAAGGGCTTCCCCTTTTCAACTGCGGACTATCCGTGCCCATCCTTTTAACCGGAGTTAATAGTGGTCTCGGCACACTTAAATACATTAAAACATTTACCAAACCCTTCAGAAATAGAAATCACACAGAAAAATCAGAGCTTTTTGAGAGGAATCCAACAGATCCTGGGGACAGCGAGCGGAGGTCAAAGCGCCATGTGCAATGCAATGCTCCACCACAGAACCATGACAGTACATAAACGAAAAAGTAGTTATCTGTAATGGTGGTATATATTTGTGACCTAACGACGAGACCATTTAACTGAATATAAGCGTTTAGTCTATGGATGTGGTCTCCGAGTATTCTTTACGAAGGAAGGTTAATATGTGTTAATATCAGGCTGATTACATATTTGGGTAATATCCTAGTGCAGCTGTGTTAAAGTGACTTCTTTGGGGTATGATATAAATACACAAAATAGTAAAATTTGGGTCAGCATTTTGACATTCAGTTTTGTTATTCGTTTTGATAAAACAAAATGGCAAAGCAAGTGAGATCGCGAAGGTAAGAATATTTAGTTTGTAATTCTGATATTTGATTGCAAACCAGGGTGTTTGGCTATTTTAGGAATCGTAATGCAAATACTAATAAACCATCAAAAACTAAAAATCGTTCGAAAGTGGGTAGGAGCAACCTAAAGTTTAAAAACAAAACTGCACCCAACAAGAAGTTGAAAAAAATAATCGGAGTTGCCAAAGTTCAAGATGCAAGACAAAAAATATTACAAAAAAAAAGGAAAATTGTTACTGATGCTAGAGAGGTATTAACAAAAATGGCAAAAACTCGAGATGCAAGAAGTAAACTGGAGAGTATACGTAGTGGTAGAGAGTCTAACACTCGGGGCCAAACTAACATTAAAGTAATTGGTAACAATATTGTTCAGAAAGTAGACAGGAATGGAAAAATTAGTTTGATCACAAACAAAACAAGAAGTACTACAAATATGAATATGGCCATTCAAAAACAGTTGGGCCTTATTCCCCAGGCACCATCACAAGTTAAGAGGCTGTCCCCTAAAAGAACTGGAAGGTTAAGTAGCCCTACCTTATTGAGAAAAACTATATTGAACAATGTGGATTATGGGGGACCAGTTAATCGAGTTTATGATACTGCATTGTATAAGTGGGTAAAACCAGGTATGAGATCAGCATCTCATTTAATTAGTGGATTGGAACCGGCAAGACAGGCAATGCGAGATGTTATGAGGGAAGAACTTATCTTGGCTAGTAGTAGATGGCCCAACTTAGTTGCCCCAAAGTGAGTTTTATGTAGCTGGTCAATTATCAGTTGATATTAACAATACAAAAATATTTTTAATTATTCCTTACTGCAAAATAATGTTCATAGAATTTCCACATTAAAAGTAACAAATACCTATTTGATTTTGTATAAGTATAGTTAATTATTTGAGTTTAATAATCATATTTGTTACTTACAAACTGAAGTTTTGTAGTTTTGTCTTTATTCGCACTTTTAAATTGAAAACCTAAAATTATTTGACATTTAATTTTGTTAGGGATATATGATTTTGACCCTCTGGGAATAGCCTTATCTTATTTTTTTTAAATTTTATGAATATTTTGTTGGTGTAATAATTAATTTTACTCATTACTTTGTCTTGTGAAATAACTTCATTATATCTAATATACACTGAAAAATATTTAATACATAATAATATCGTATGTTGTTCTAGTGATGTTCTCTGAAGGTCAAGTCTTGATTGAGGTAGATAAACACCAAGGATCTTGCAAATTGTGTCAAAATTTACATAACATAGTTCATTCACAATATGATTTTCAAGCATATGAATTCAGAAGCTATTTCTCCACTTCTAGGCAATCTATTGCCTTAGCTAGGTGAAAGAGAATGTCACAAGTCACATGTATTACTCATATTTTACAAACAATGTATTTTGTGGACAGATTAATAATAATTTATTTAGGCCTTTAAGGTTACAAGCAACCAATTATGTAGACTTGGTAGATGAAGAAGATGAAGAGATGCCAATAACTAGCTCTAGGATATCCCTCCAAGGATCAAAACGAATATCAGATGTTCATATGAGGCTTGATAGCTCACCCAGTCATCCAACAACTCACGGCATACTAGGAGCCCCTAAAACAAAGGTTGTCGTTCCTGCTGGACATAGAATTGTGGTGTCTAATTTACAATCTTCTGTGAGTGAAGATGACATTAAGGCAAGAAACTTCTACCAGTCTGCAATGGGGAAATATTTTATTAATTCCATTTCATTTATAATTTTAGGAGCTTTTTGAAGATATTGGGCATCTTTTGTCTGCCAAATTGGTAAAATCTGGAGTAGCAGAAGTGATTTATAAGAATTTGAGTGATGCTCAAAAAGCAGTGGACACTTATCATAACAGACAGTTGGACGGGCAGCCCATGAAATGTCTGTTGGTTAATAAGAGACCATTAAATCATCCCACTGCCGCTCCGCTTTCGAAATCTGAGAGGTATGCTATATATTAAAAGGTCCGTGGCACCTGTAAATTAGTATATTTCATGTGAAAGGACCCTGAACTTCCTGCTATAGGCAGCTAGTTTCAAAAATCCAAAGTGGCTATGCTATTTGGGACTAATAGGTCCTGCTAATTCAGTTTAAAGAAAAATTCTGGAAACACTTTAGAGGGTTTTATAGATTCCTTTTTCCTATCTTTTGTACAAATTCCAAGCAGTCTCTAATCTAATACTCGCTGAGTGATAATGAGTGTAACAGCTTCTTAGATTAAACTTGTGGAAATGATGATATTTGGTTTAATATGCCTTAATAAAATGTCTCTCATCAAGGACATACAGAGGGCTAGTTACAGTCAATAGTCTCACCATTTCGTGGAAAAGCTTGTTAGTATGTTATTAGTTAGTTTATTATTTTCTATTGCATTGCAGAAGTGGGGGTCCTTTATAAGAAATAATTTGATTGAATGTGTTTTGGCAGCAGCATTAAAATAGAACTCCGCTTTATTTATATTTTTCTGAAAGTAAATAAAGATTTCTATTTTCCTTTAGTATTAGAAAATTGCCATTGACCAATGCTCCTAACAAGTTGGTACCCGACATTGGCACAATTCACAAGGTGTTATTCCAGAGGAAGTAGTCACCAAGGAAAAACCATTAATTAGTAACTGCTGTTCGTTTTTGCAATTTGTTTAGTAATATTTGGAATACTTTTATCCCTGTGTTGACATCTGCTATTTTCTCAATTTTTTTCTTATAAATGGACCAACTAATTTGAAAATAATATACTTATTTCCATAGCGATTATGAAGCATGTTAACATGTTAAAAGCAAAAAAAACCTAATAATTGGTTGGTTCTTTTAAAGCTGGACTTATTCTTTTCATTTTTAAATTATTTCTTGCATTTTTCCCCATGTTTCCGGTTTGTGTGTTAATATATTGAATTTGAACTCATTTAAGAGATTTTCGATTTTTGATATTGGTGATTGTTTAAAATATTTTTTTTACATCAATATGCAGTAGTGGAGAACATACATATAGGTTTAGTAAAAAAATGTAAATTTGTATACTCTAGTACGTAAAATAAGAACAGTTAATATCTCACATTATATAAAATGGAAGTTCACAAATAAAATACCTAAAGTTCAGACAGTTTCTTATTTTACCCAACTTATGTTTTGAGCAAACTCTGGGCCAATTTTATAACACAGTTGTTTATGTTTAAATAACAAATACTAAATAACATTGTGTTTGTGGATCATACACCAGAATACCCAAGTTGTGGTTGCAGTGCTATACATATTTTCCTCTCCCAATAGGGGACTATAGAAGTTGTGATATTTTTTTCTTTACGTGGACTTCATTAGACGAATTAAAAACTTCCTTTTAGGAAAGTAATAACATGTTGGGAATATGACTGTTGCAGTCAATGCATTGACTTGATGCTTGTCCATTTGCTTATTTATTGCATTTTTTCATGACGTTTATTTTATGAAAAATTAAAATCAAACCAGCAAGTGATGATAGTAAAATAATTTAATCACAAACAGTTGTTTTTACAATTTGGGTAAAAATAAATATAAATTTATAATTTGAGGACTGGAACAACAAAAGCAATGGTTGAACATGTCCAGCTTTCTTAGAATATTGATTTGTTTAACAGTTGAAAAACTATTGCTAAATATGACTAAGACTATATTTTAAATTGATAATAACTACCCTTATATGGATTATATATGTTTGTGATTACAATTATAAATTCTTGGCACGCGTAGGCTTCTTAAACAAACCTTCATTAGAAATAATAAAAATTACAAAAAGGAACGATACATTAAATAAATCAATTCAAGTAAAAAAGTGAGTATTCAGTGAGTATTTACATGCGATACCTCACAAATGTAGACCACAAAGATATAATAAAATATTACACCTGCGCAGTTTCCAAGTAAAAGAGCAAAGCGATACAAAAATTCCTTATAAATTAACTGTTAATTCTGTCCATAACATGTAAGCTCATTGGATTCAGTTTGATATTTGGCTTATTTTAAGCATTCCTTCCATTGTAAAAAAACTCATTGCCTTTTATAGATCTAAATATTTGCTACTTCTGCTGTTGCATATTCTGCAGATTTCTATGGTAATATAATTTTTTATGCAATTTTTTGCTTCTAAAGTTTGATCAAAGCAAAAGAAATGTGTGACATATCAAATCGCCATTGACCAACTAATTTAAAGGATTGTGCTAAAAGGATGCTTTTTTACTTGTAGCAGGTGGTGAATAATTTAATAAAAAGACTGTGTATTTATTTCCTTCTCTGCTTGTACAACTCTCTCTTTAACACTTCTGCGTAAGACATGTCCAGTTTCTTAAGCTTGTTAAGGTCGTGTGAGGCGGTACTAGGTTTAAACTCATAGCATGCTTTCCCACTGCCCTGACTTGGTGTGGGTGATGAAACATTTCTGTTTGTTGCCCAAAACTGCAATGTGTTACCGTTCCAATTATTGTCATTATCTGGATGAGTCTGTGCTTTAAGCTCTCGGCGTCTTCTGCCCGAATTGGGCCTGCTGGAGTAACTGATCTTGGGGCTTCCGATTATATGGGTTATTGGAGAGTCAGATCTGTCCGCGTATTTATTTTTGCGCCTAGATGACGAACGTTTTCTAACCTCGACCGACAGATATTCCAGGGGTTGTCGCACTAAGGGCTTCAACACGCATTCAGGCTGCTGGTCGATTTTGGTGGGCAGTGTGTCAGGAATGGGCTGGTTCTGGGATTCAATAATATTCTCCATGATTGTTGTCGGTTCATTTTGAGAGATTGAAAGCTCAGATGCCGTCGTGGACATGACACTGTGGGTGTCGTCGTCTGGAAATTCCGGTAGTTGGTGACTGGAAGGTGTTACGGGAGGCACTTTGGGTGCTCCTCTAGCGTTGTCGTCTAGTAAAGGCAAATCATCGCCTTCTTCTTTGTTTTCCGCCGCCTTCTTTAAAACTTTAAATATTTCCTTGAATAGGACTCTATACTCGGGTCTGTCTCGGAATCGAGAGTCAATTGGACTAGCGTCATCGTAGATACTAAATTTACAGTCTTCTCCGTCAGCTATGGTGCATAAGAAAGAACCTACTTTGCCCTCAGTCTGCGTTCCTTTGTTGCAGGTTTCATCCGCGAAACCAGAAGAGCTAGTTTCCGCCTCGGAAAAGTCAGTAGGAGTGGAGAATGTTTTCCTTGTCTTCTTATGCTCCTTTTCTTCGGCTCTGATGCTACCACCATGACCACTTTCTTCGTCCATATCCTTGATGTTAAAATCTCCAGACAATGCTAGGTCTTCCTGAAGTGAAATTCCCTGATCAGACTTGTTTGAACGTATAGGCTTGCGATGGACTTCGACCAATGCTTCATACTTCTCCACCAATTCTTTGTACGGATTGGAGGATTGTTTAGCCTGAATTGGCGATGATTGGTTTTCAATGTGACCCTAGAATATAAAGAAATTTTTCGATCGTAGATATTTGCGGGGTTATGTAGTAGAATAAATACCCATGTGTATATGTCCAGCAACCATATTAGTAGGGAGATGCTTGCTAAGCTTAGATAATTTAATTTTTGAATTGTAATAAAGGTATGATAATAAAAATTAAAACTTTGTTTTTGTGCCTTTTGAATTAGAATGATGATTACGATATTTTATTAGTTATACTTATTAATTTTCATATTTATTGGACACATAATATAAGCTATTGGCGTAACACTTTTGTAGTTCCGATTTTCCGCAAAAAAAGGACTGCTGATTATTAAGTAAATATTGATACAGAAAATTAATTATATAAATAGGTGAACATTTTTTATACACTGTGTTTAAGAAAAGGGGACATCAAGAATTGAGTCAAATAGAAAAAAAGTTATGCATTTTCATACCTAACAATGTCCAGATTTGAAACCTAAAAGTTAAAAATGTAAATTGTAAAATCCGATCTATCCAACAATATCACATTTTTAGGTTTTTTTTTTTCAAATAAAAAACTACAGATCATTTTAAATATTACTAAAAAAATGTAATTGTATTTATTTTATACTTTTGTTTTATTGTGTTTGGGTGGGATGCAAACCCTTAATTCCAACACCAACAACTAAAAACAATTGTCAACTAAATTGTTAATGGAAGGGAAATGACGAAAATTTTAAATCTGTCAAAGTCCATTCAAGAACAGGATGTTTTGGGTTCACTGCTAAGGTCAAATTTCGCTTGGATTAAAAAATTATTATAATTATAAAATTATAATTTTAAACTGTGCAAAATAGTTTTTACAGCCCGGCCAAAGCCTGCAATTATGTGTCGGATAAATATTCTAATTTAAAGAAATTGTACCTACCATTATTATGTCGATTACTACAACAGCTTTACTAAAAAAAAACTTTCAAATACGCATAAACGAAACTCGTTTATCAAGATAATAAAATTTATTTTTAGTATTACATTGTAAAAATTTTGAGCAGTTTTATAAATTACTACTTCTATAAATTACTAGTGAAGTCGAACCGATAAATGTTTTTACAAAATGCTATAAATATTAAAATCATAAAAAATTATCAGTAATCCTACAGTAAATATATACACAAATCACAGCATTACTCGTTTATAGGTTTTCATTTCCTAATAATCGTGTTAATAAGTTAACAGGAGGAAAGATAAACATGTAATATAAAAACATACCTTAATTGAATACTAGTGCAACTTATGCCTCAGGCAATAATGTAACAAAATAATTGGAAATTTAAGAGGCCGACAAATGGGTAGCAGGTACTTGTCTTTAACAAACAGGCATAAGTCGACTAATATCGATAATAGGTTTGCAGCTGGTGTAATCCACACAATGGACATATCCCTTCGGAGAATCTCCTCCAGGTCTTTGTCCTGGGAAGAAACAAACACAGCAGCTAGAACTGGGCTGAATTTTTGTTCAGCCTTTGACCACTGAACTAACGTCTTCAGATGCAACTTGTGACTGTCTATTTTGCCACGTCATAAGTTTTACCAGGCGCGAATTCCTGCATCTTAATTGTTCTATTTATTTCATTTATATCAGAAAACTATATATTGAATAGCGTGAGCAGTGTGTCAGTGATCAAAAATACTTGAAAATAGTGAATTCAGACCACAAAATTACTAAGTACAGCTAAACATTCCTAATCTAATACACAAATCATAAATATTATAGATACTAGTGGTACGTTACATATATGGCAGTAATACTCAATTCTTATATATACAATACTTTTGGCTGAAGACTATGGACTTTTTTTACAATATAAATATTTTTTACTTTGAAATAATTATTATAATTTTTATTTTTTAAAGTTAGATATGAGTTCATATAAGATTTTACTAATTTGCCCCAGTAAAACTTCGCTTTAAAAAAAAAGGGTGATCTACAGAATCTGCTAAAATTGAGAAAGGTTGCATTTTGTTTTAACATGTCTTAAGCATTTTTAAGTTATGTCAAATGGATCAAATAGTTCTGATGGGAGAAGTATTTATAGATTGCATCTACCATCTTAGTAAAGTTTGTAAATAATTGTTTGCAACAAGCAAGAATACGTTTTTGAAGAATTATTAAATTTTTCATTGTATCCTGTGATAAATTAAATGATTCGTATGCTTGTGGTCTATTAAACAACGAATCCATAAAATAATTTAAAAAATGACGTTTGAGTAGCTCTATAAAATTTTTGATTATGTGTTTAACAAGATTGTGACCAAAAACTTAAGTAAATACTTTAGTTATGAAAGAAAATTATCGCAATATGTAAGTATAAAGGATTAGTGTGGTTATGCGGTCATATCCTTTGAATGGCATAAAACTTTTATATATAATATTCCGTTAGCCTTCGCACAAAACTTGCATGTCCATTTCTGGTTGATAGGTCGATGTCATATGATAATGCAAAAATAAAATAATTCAATGGTCAAAGGCTCCAACACTTTATAGTCTATAATTGGGTTTGTTACAATGCTTCCGTGTTCAATGTCGAAATATAACATTAACCTTATATATTAGTTCTTACAAATGAAACACTATCCGTCTACGGAAAGAATCCTCATAAGTGAAAGCCCCGTTAAAATTAGGCATATTTTAGAGAGAACATTATCAGGAAATAAGTCGTTAATACTGCATCCGAATGCAAAACATCGTCTGTGAGCGACCTCTTGCTACAAAAGACCAAACCAAATTAGGATAAATTAAGATGCATACCGTAGACGAAAAATATTACCCATTTGAAATGCGAGGTTAAAATGTTATGGAATTGTTAAATCTAAACACTTGCTGTAGATGGTCGGTTCGATATCACCATATTATTTTGATTAATGAACGTTGTTTAGTACGACGTTAGTACGTCAGAACGCAAATGTGTGTATTTCTCGAGAATCTCTTTGTATCTTTGTTACTTTTTGAGATTTATCCTATAGAGGGATAATATTTTTCGTATTCGGTATAACTTTCTTATCTAAATAAGAACAGGGACATAATAAACACGTATTGTAGACAAAGCGATTTACAGTTTTCTGTAATAACCTATTCAGTACAAAACAAAACGCAAATAGCAGACTGGACACTAACAGAATGCGGTCTAGGTGTAAAATAGGTCCGAAGTTTATGAAGGGTTAAGAAAACGCAGGAGAAAGCAATTTATTAGAGAATGTCAGTCTTAATATTGAAACTGGAATCGACATGAACCCGTATTCCTAGACATATGTACAAACGTTTCAACTTATGTGGATTAGAGTCAGTTTCGAATTGTGATACTACGATTCTACAAGCTACAAATGTTTAAAAACAATCTTTATTATGTGAAAGATTATATACTAATTCAAGGAAAAACATATTTTTGCTCGAGGTCTTAGGTTCTCTTTAAACCATTTTTTAGTGAAAGTAGATTAAAATTCTTTAATCAAAATTAATTACTTTATAGTAATAAATAATAAATTATTTATTTCGGCTAATCGGACACATTGTAACAACCCAACTTCAACAATCTTTTTACAACGCAAAGTAACAACCACAGCCTTCTAGCTAACATGCACAGCTGCACCGCCCCCATGCATCGTGACTAAAGATAAAAAAAATAAAACGCCCATTGGATAGTTTCATTTCTGTCTATTTACATGTACATTATTGATTTAGGTACCGAATCACAGAAATGAAACTGTCAAATTAGGGCCTTAGAGAACAGGAAAAGGGTTGGTTTCGCAACCAATAACACAAAACTTTTCAAAGAAAACACTCCATTAAACTAAAAAAACCCAGGTGTCTGACAAGCGTGTGTCTCACCTGTACGTTCATCGAAAACGAGCTGCGATGCTGGGTGGTCATCAACTCCTCCATCATGCTGGTGTCGTCATCTTCAGGAATTTCGCTGTCGTTTCGATCGAGGCTGCGCAGGCATCGACTGCACATCTGGCCTTGTCTGTGAAATACAAATAATAATACAGTCATCCAAACCTCGATATCGTAAATATATGTGAAAAACAATGGAAGGTTGTATTGCAAGCCACAAAAATCGAACTGTTTCAAATTATTTGCTGATATCGTTAGTCTCAAAAAGAATTAATAAAATGAGTGCTACGTGCCGCGTGCTACGTCTTGTGTAGTTTGATTTTGTTAAATCGTAATCGAGTTTTAATTAAAAAATTTCGCTTTAACTATAAAGTTCTTTTTTTTTATTATAAATGAACCTAATTGAATTGATCTAAAAAATATAAATATTGAGTAGTTCAATATGGACTTGCACAATGTTTCGTGGCACAAAATTCTCTAGAGCCCCGATATAAATAATAAGGTCAACCTTGTAACGCAAAATATTGTTGAAATTTTTAAGAAGCACTCCTCTTTTCGCGAGGCTCGTATAATAAAGCCAATTGCCCTATGGTTAACTTCAAACCTAAAAATGATTACGAAACAGAGAAATAAAGCTCAATCAAATATAAAAAACATAAAACACCAGAAGCATGAGAATATTACAGACAGCTCCACAATTTTACAAAGACTTCGGTCCAAAGAGAGAAAAAAACAGCATATCTAGAATTTTTACGACAAAAAGTTTCTTCAATATTTTTTTATTAACATCCAGAAAAATAAGATAGGTGTTGAGATACCTTCAAATTTGGATAATCCATAAGAAATTAATCGTTTTTTCGTCTCCTTGTTCGAGAACAGTGATAACAAATGTGCATCAACCATAACTTTTTATAATACCTAATTTTACTTTTAAATTCATTGAAATTTCTTATATCACTGAAATCATATCAGAAACAAAATCTGGGGTGGACGGAATCACATTGGAGGTGGTAAAGCTATGTATGCCAGCAATAGATAAATACATTTGTCAGTTAGTGAATTGTTGCCTTGAAATCGGATATTTCCCAGCTTTGTGGAAATAGGCATTGGACACTTGCGGCTGATAAGCTTATTACCGACTTTGTCCAAAATTATGGAAAAAGTAGTATACAAACAGATAAATGAATATGTGGCTGTTAATGAGCTGCTTCCAATTCACCAATCTGGTGTTAGGAAAGGACATAGCAAGCTTACTTTCCTATTACACTTGTGTGACGAAATCTTGAGAGCAGGTGACAAGTGTACGGCGACTGCTTTGGTTCTACTGGATTTCACAAAGGCCTTCGATACTGTATTGAATTTGATCTAAGAACGTTAAATTTTCTGCAGTCGTATCTACAAAACCGGCACCAAAAGATACTATTAAAAAATCAGTTCTCGTCACCTCTAGATATTTTATCGTGGGTGCCGCAGGGCTCAGTATTGGGACCGTTATTATTTTCGATTTATACAACGGATCTGGGTGGTGTGGTTGCAGAGTACCAAGCTCAGTTTTTTGCAGATGATACACAATTGTATCATAGTTTTGAGTGTGACAATTGTGAATATACAGCGAACATCAGAACATCAAAAGAAAGAAAATCAAGTTCAGGATGAAACTATATGTGGACAATAAACCTATTGAAGTTTTTAAAAATCTGGGTCCACAGATTGATGAGAAAATGAAGTTGTTAGATTATGTCGCGGATGTCTCCGTGTTGTATGAGTTTGAGTATTGCTGTATTCAAATAAAGATATATTGTCGTACGGCATGAAAGTACAGTTATGTAAGAGTTTTGTTCTCTTTCGTTTATCTTACTGCAATATTGCGTATTACTCCTACTTAGACATTGTAACCTCTTGTTTGATACAGAAAATTGAGAATACTTGTTGTCGCCTTATTTCTAACTTACACAAATTTGACCGTATGTCCGGAGCATTCAAGAAATTAAATTGGTTAAAAATAAAAAATGTTTTCAAGTACAAGTTTCTACGCTCTCTGAAATTATAAAATTCCTTAATACTTGGATGATTAATATTTAGGAAATCAATTCATGACCTCACGCTCACTATGCCTTTACATAGAACTGCTGTAATTTTGTTCAACTTCTTAATCGTGTTCTCATATCAAAGTTTCTTGGTCCCTGCAAAACTTTTAGCTTTTATTTAAAAATATATTTACTTTTTCCCAGGCGAAATAACTAAATTGTAAAAAACAAGTACAAATTTATAAGTTGTAATACGGCTGTGATGTATAGTTTAAGGTACATCATATATTATTGTTATAATTTTATGCTTACTTTTACTTGAAATGTGTAGATTGTATTTAGATATGGGTTAAGTGTGAGTGGCTTTAAGGCCAAACTTTGTCCATGTAATCTTAATAATTATTATTATTAATATATTTATTGTTATAAACATACCGGAGTGGCACGTTGTCAAGTTAACTTTTTCACCTAACTTTAGGCATAATCCGGCAAAACAACAAGTAACTGATGTTCCGATTTCGTTGAATATTTATTGAATTTTATTGAATTTATTGTAGCTGTCTAGTAGTTAGGAAATTTTTCAAGTAAAGCAGGCCCATTCGCTCGCATTCACGAATCGGCGCGATGAAACATAACGATAGTCGATTTTTTTAGCTGTTTTTGAAACTTTGTTGCGAAAGTTATAAATTATTAAAAAACCTTCAAATAAGTTCAAAAATTAACAATATTACTATAACTAGGAGCCGAAGATATCCTGACTGGGATCTCAAACTTCGTAATTTTAATTTATTAGGAAATTTCCTTATTTTTTCTTTGAATATGCAGGTCTACTTAATCAGTAATTTAAAGTTGAAATACAGATGACAAAGTCGCTGATATTTTTCGGTAAAACTATGATATTTCTATAAGTACCAATACTCCATAATGTTCTATACTACAATTTAAAAACTAATCAAGAGAGCTAAACGAGTATTATGTAACCGAATACCTAACTCTCGTATTTTTAGGATTTTTTCGTGAAGCTTAGAGTAAAAATTTTTCTAGCTCACTTTTAGGTGAAATCTAACTTTCGATTGTGCTTTTCACTGTCTGCGCTAAATTTTTTCTGGGGTTGTGCGAACGAACTTCCTTTCCATGTCAAAATTAAACACAAAACGCACGAGTTAATACAAAAGGACGAATACCCTACCAAATTTTGTGACCGTCTGCTTCTTCATTACTTAATCATTAAAGTCCCAAAAACAAGATGCCGTCCAAACACGAATGATAGAGTAATTTTACCCTGGAGACACATGCATATTATACGTACCTAACTTCGTCGAGAGTGTTTAACTCCTCATGCATACTCTTCATATTCATGTCCTCCCCCTTATGACTCAACTGAACCACTTGATTTTCAAGCGCCTGGTTCTGTTGCACCATGGTTGACAACTGCTCCTCTAGTTCGGCGATGATTCTCTCATCTTTGCTGCATTGGGCTCTACTCTCCCGTAGCTGGGTCAGCAGCTGGGACATTTGTTCGAGGCCGCTGTCCGTTTGATCGGCTACGTTACAGTCCTGATCGCACTCCGGTTCCGTTTTAACAGAAGCGGGAGGCGAACGGTTGGTTTTGGTAGGTGTTGTACACAATTCCTAAGCACAATTGAAAAAATCAATGAAAAAAAAGGGAAAGAATTTTATTTTACGTAGCATAATAAAATTTTTAAGACATTATTGCAAGTTAAATTAATGTAATTCAATTTTGCCCTGAAATTTGCAACATCGTATTCTAGAGAAATATCACTAAAGATGAACTGTACTACTTTTTATAAAACTTCTTCCTACGTCGATTTTTGTTGACTCGAACTAGCTAACGTTTGGTCAATCATCCTGTTGGCTTCTTCAGAGCTTAACTGAAACTGGCTTTTATTTTACTCTGTACCTGCTTTTTTATTGTTGTCACGGTTAAGATTGTTAGGTTGCTGATAGATTTCTATAGACTCTCGGAACCGGATATAAAATTTTATTAGATAAAACTAAAATTTTTCTATCAACGAAAGATCCGAGAGTCTGTCGAAATCTATAAGCAACCTAACAATCTTAACCGTGACTCAGGTCTTTACCTGTCACCAATATGGAAATCAGTCATCCGAGACGGTGTTCTGTCCATCACCTAGCTCCGCCCCCCTCAAACAATATAAAAATATATAAAAAAGTTTCAGTCAAGCTCTGAAGAATCCAATTGGCGAAACGTTAGCTAGTTCGACTCAACAAAAACCGACGCAGGAAGAGTCCAGAAGTTTTATAAAAAGTACAAATAAGAAACGTTCGAAAGTCCATACGGTTTTCATTAGACTTTTTTAATCCATATAAGAAGTAGATCTCACCCCCTCTGTTTGTAGGAAACATTCTCTTGCAACCAATTGCTCTTCACCTTCTTTGTGCGAGACATGCTTCAAGGTGATATACTCCCTACCAATGGTGTTGCTCGTTGGCGTGGTCTCTGTAGACCGGATCGACTTTTTTCGGAGAACGTCCACTTGCAACTTCAGCTCGTCGATGGTACTCTGCAGGTCTTCGCATTTTGCTTCCAGTGATTCGATCGTTGCGTTCAAACCTTTTATGTGCTTCTTCTCTGCAGAATTGTCTAAGGCCAGTCGATGGTTGGCGCGCTCCAGGTCTTGGATACTGACTTCCAGTTGCTCGTAGATTCGTAATCTGGAGTCATTGACCTCCCGCAGAGCCGCAGTTTGCTTTGTGAGATACTGAAATAAAAAAAATGATCGAGTGAAAGGAAACTAATCTGGAGCTGCCTAGGTATATTTACCGTATTTAAGGCATCAATCTTATAGCTATATGATCATAACTTAGCAAGTCTCATATAGAAGACGCAGCATGGTAGGTTGTTTAAATTATTTTGGAAAGAAATGCATATGTACACTATGTCCATTTTTCGTTGTTAACGGGAGTCATCTCATTCAACACTTCAGTTATCCTTTGTCGGAATGGTGTACCCCAATTTTTGTAACATAATTTTTGAAGTTAAGTATACCTTTGATTTTTATTTTATTTTTATATTTTAAATGTAAAATTTTCTAAATATATATTTTTTTAAATGAACATACATTTCGACATTTCACAAAATATACTTGGCAGCTGACAGATATTTTTCTCAACATTCTTCTTTGGGCATTTACGCGGATATTTTTTTATAATTCAGTGGCGTACAGATTTTTTGTAAAAATTTTTGTGATATAAGTAAGGTGTACACCATGTACATATTTTTTAAATGTATTGAAATTTCTATAAGCATTCTTAAAATAGATAGTAGTTAAGATATTTTTTAAAAAATAAATATATAGTAAGTAATAAATAAGTAAATTAGCACAAATATTTACACTATACAGTTACTTGATGTGCTTATTAAAGTTCCTATATTCCAGATTACACTATTCTCATAGTTAATGTCATATTGCTTTTTGATCAGATATTCATAACAAAACAACTTATACAGTAACCACAGAAAGATATTTACCATATTTCTATGTAGTTTTTATTTTTTTCTGCTAAGAACAATTTTGAATATGTTAAAAGGAATAAAAGCATATTTTTTAATACGTCAAAATATGTTTATTTAAATAATATATTAAAAAAATTAAACATTTTTGAAATGTGTATAAAAAGAGGAATAAAATTTCAAAGTATATATTGTATGTTACATGTAAAAAATATATAACTTTAGCTCGTATCTTAAAAATTAGGTATTTATAGTAATCTATAATAATAATTAAGATACCCCGTAATAAGAACGGAAAAGAAACAGTCTGTACATAGTTAAATATTTTAGTAGATATATAAATGAAATATGCAAGTTCTGAATACAGTTTATGTGACTGCCACTGAATTTAGATCTCCTATTGGCACATTTTTCAGAATTATGTCATTACTAACCACACAAACCGATCAAACTAAAAAAAAACTAAATACAGGGTGTATCAATAGGTACTCAGTATCTTGAAAAAGTTGGCGTTAAAAAATAAAACAAAATTATAGACTATGACAGGTAGATATAGGATTTCACAAAGATATGACGAAGAAATATAGTTGTGATGTTTGTCAACGATTTTCGAGTAAGTATTTCCTTAGGGACCCATAACATTTAGCAAGGACACAGGTAAGGTAGAACAATTTTTTTTCTTATGTCAAAAGCACATTAAAAATCGGGTATCTGTACGAAATCAATACAACCCAATGATCTATTTATTGGCCTATGTTGTTATATTGCGAGATAATGTAATTCTTTCAATTAAAAGTGGGTTTAGTAATAGCGACATAACTGTTTCTATCTAAATGATATATCGGCATTGCAGTGAATTGTAGAAGGTTATTTAGCTGTTTGCATATTTACAAAATATAAATAATGGCGATAATAATCTGGTTAAACCAGTTAGGTTAATTTTAATGGTCGTTTTTATGGCAATCCTTTAAACTGGTAGCACAGATTACGTCATTTATTAAGACAATCCTGTTTTTTTTTAACATTTATTTACCTTCCATACATTTTACTTATATTCGGACCTTTTGATGATTCCCGTACGTTTAATGAAAGTAAAGTTAATGTTTCTCATGGTAGCCCCTCACTAGAAGTTTTCGTGGTTAGAAAAAATTTAGGGAAATATTGCGAATGTTGTCAACTTACTTGTTTTTCTGATCAGATAATCCAAACCCGAAGACAATAATTCGTATTAGGCTAGTCACCAAATTTATTTGTTCTTAAGGGGATTTTATTTCTAAAAATAGTTCGCATTGTTCTTATTTCATTGGAGTATCATTAAAAAATATTAAAATAAATAAATATCAGCATAATGGATAGCTTTAACTTCACTAGATGTGTGACACACGAAGTGGTAGACAAACCTAACTACGAATTAGATTTGACACAAGTGGAATGAGTGTTTTAATAAACTATTGCTTAAAAACTTAAAACTTTTTATACGACTATTAGTTTCTGTGTAAGTTTTTGAAAGACTGCACTTTTTCATATATATATTTCATATCTGTCGTTCCTAATCACCACAAAACTAATGTAATTATCATCTTCATACATATTGTTACAGGAGAGGAACAAAAATCTAGAAAATTTTCAAAGGATGGTTTAGACAATGATAACTAGAACAGCATAAATAACGAAAAGGTTACCTCGATTTCCTGTGTCTGATCTTCAATGATGTTCTGATGTTGTTTTAGCGCCGCTTCTAATTCCTTATTCCTTTCAAGAAGTGTTTTTCCTAGTTCCGCAGCTAATTGTAGATCTGAAAATTTAAAAAAAATCAATCACTTTCAATGTTTCGTTTTGCCAATTTTTTATTCATGAGAATTTGGGTTCGCAAGGTGAGTCAACAATGTGTTGGAGTGAACAGTTGTAGAAATGGTAGAAACCGTACAGAGTGTTCGCTTTTCAATGGGGATTTTTCTGAACAGGATAATATTTAGATGGGATCGATCCGTTGAAATCTATAAGTTTTCAGTGATTCCAAAATCAAAGAGTTATATATTTAATTTAGCTTCTTAACAAATATGGCGCTCCAGGTACAATGTCTAAATAGTAATATATGCTCATATTTATTAAAAATTTGGATTATTAAGAAATACAAAAAAGAGTTCGATTTTTGCTTAATGATGAAATAAATAAAGAAAACAGTTTTTTTCAAACACAATAAAAAATAACATTTTTGGAGAAAGTAACTTTTTTAATTAAAATAAGATACAAAAATTATGCTGATGATGATTTTTAGTGGGTCTTGGCATTTGTTTGCAAATGTTACTTATCAGAAGAACCCACCTTTTCACGCTTTCAGTTTATATCAATTTGTGAAACCTTTTTCAATAGATGCGTAAACAAAAGTATATAAGTGCACCTTTATCTAATACTTTTTTATATTGTTTTTGAGCTGCAGTATGTTTCGTGACAATAACAGTTTTTGCAATAATTAGTACCATACTAACAACCGACTGTCTATCGTGGAAGAAGAAAACCCGTGCTTCGTAAGCTTACCAAGGACAAGGACTGCACGAATCGGAGATTATTGAACTTTGAAAAGAAATCTGCGAATAACGCGTCGTATCGCGGAATGCAAAACGAGTAAAAAGAGTTCACTGTTACAACGTCAAAGCACTTGCATTCTTGATTTCGCGACAATTAGATTCCGACTGCTTCTTTTTAAGTTAGATTCACAAAATACACAAGTTGTCGATATCGAACAATACGTTAGATAAGTTTGGAATTCGCTCTGAAAGCCGCAATGAATTATGTGTATCTTGATGTCTTCTGATAGTCCCTACCCCAATAAACCTTTAACGAAGTTATTACTTATTACTATTGGGTCACCCATCAATAAATAACTGATTTATACTTTTAGGTACAGTGCGTTCAATTTATCTTGATAACGTTTTAATTAGTTGTAATTTTTTGTTTTTAAAGATATCAAGGTAAACAAAAAAAAACAAAATGTAGGGTTAGTGGCCAATTTTTCCAAGTGATGTACAAAACAAAACACTGTCAATTTTCTGACAAAAAAGTCTACATCATATTTTTATAAATGGAACACCCTGTATATTATAGAACATCTTATTCCGATTACAGCACACTTTATATTTTAGTCCATTCGTTTTTGACAAATCGCAAAAATAGGAAATTTTTATATAATTTCCAGGAGTGCCGTGATAGACTGCAACAACAATATTTATTTACAAATTAACGTAGAACAAAAACACTAAAAATAACAATACAGGCTAAAGTAAACATTTCTTTAAGTATTCTAAATACTTCTGTATGTGACCACCATTTCCCTGAACACATTTCTCATAAATCCTTTGACGAAGTTGCACGATATTATTGCACGTGATTTTTTATGTGTCCCCAAAAGAAAAATCCATTAAAGTTAAGACGGGGCTGTTGGCTAGCTAATGCATAGTCCCGCCGTTCCCTATCCAACCCTTGAGATAACCATGTTACCAAAAAGGAGCACGGCCTTGCTGCCATATAATCAGCGCTGGCATATTTAATATATTTAATGTAGTGAACGAACTTTCATCAGTCCATAAAATGTTTGTCAAAAAATTATTATTTTCATTATGTTTATTTCAACAATCCAAACAAAACTGCATCCCCCTTTGACGTTTTTCTGCACTTAGTTTTAGAGTTTTACGAAATTTAAGTGCATTATATTTATATTCTTTCAAAACTGAGTGGATTGATCCCCGAGAAATACCTCTCTTCAAATACTTTAGTAATAGAGGAAACTGGATGTGCTTCATAGAATCCTAACATGTTTGTCTTATTTTCTTCGTTTAAAATATTTTGAGTCCGGCATATCTTTTTAGCATTTAATATTATTCAGAAAGTATAATTAAAACATATCACTCCTTTCATGGATGATGAATTCACGAAAATACACTTTAACAATAATGACTTAGACAATAATTCAACTATCAACGTTGTTTACTAATATGTCAAATATAAAGATATTTTTATTATTCTTAAAAATTTCCTATTTTTTGTCATTTTCAAATTTTTCGATTTGTCAAAAACGAGTGAACTAAAATATAAAATGTGTTACATCATTCTAATCGATATTCTATTAAACACATATATAATATACAGGGTATAACATTTTAAAAAAATATGATGAAGGCTTATATGTCAGAAAATTGAAAGTGTTTTGTTTTATATGTCACTTGGAAAAAACTTGGCTACTGACCCTACATTTTGTTTTTTTGTTTATCTTGATATTTCCAAAAACAAAAAAGTTACAGCGAATTAACATGTTATGAAGATAAATTGAACGCACGGTACTTTCATTCAAATCAAAATTTGGGCCAACTTCAAAGTTTAAATTGTAGCTTTGTACAAACTTATTTAAAAAACATGATTATTGAGACCTTGGACTGGTCTATACGTTTGACATTAAATTCCGTATTTCATTTAATAAGTGAGATAAAAAATGATTAAAAAAACAAGATACTTGGAAAATATGAGACTACGTACCGAATTAAACAGATACCTAATAGTGTTGACAGAAATTCCCGCGTAATATGACAAACTTGAGTAAAAGACCGATTTTCTTAAAACACTAAGTACATGCCTAAAACTTAAATTTAAACAAAATTTTTTCTCGTAACATCATTTCTGAAAATCTAAGCTACAATTTAAAATTTAAACGAGTCAATTATCTTTAAAATTGATCCCAATTTTAGTGGTGCGTACGAACTTTGCCAACAAATGCCGGAAAGTAACTATAATTCTAATTTTAAAGACTAAGGCATGGATGGGCCCCCTGCATGTCCGTCTACTGGCACTCTCGACACCTTTGACAATCTCCAGAGGAACAATACTACGCCTATAGAATACGGCTAAGACCACTATATATTATTCGTTTTATATATTTATTTATTTGTTTTTTTCCATGGAGCTTCTTGTTCCCGGTCATAAAAATAAGCGTAAAAATCCACTCGAATTTCGACTACAATTTTGAATTGAAGATGGCGAGATCACAGATTAGATGCTCGAATATTTTCCTTGGCAGATTGAACATAAAACATGCTATGATCTCAATAACTTCCATTCTGCTGTTTAAAAATATTGCTCGCACATTTTAAATGCTTACAAGCTACAGAATACTTTGTCATTGCAAGTTTCTTTTTTACATACGGTCCACCGGTAAAGGAGAAAGGGAACTCCTTGCTGATAGATTAGCACGGGATAAAATTCATTATTCCAATTTCAAAAGTAAATCACAAAAGAATGCTTTTGTAATTTTTGTATCACCAATCTAGTCTGAATTTTAACAACAAACATGTTTCCCGCGTTCCTTGTAAGACAAGGCCGCGAAAACAACGAAACAACATTATAGTTCTAATTTAAATTGAGGTCATTAATCGCTTGAAATTTGTCTAACGGACAATTGTGCACATAAGCGCGAGGGCGGGGCTAATCGGCGCCTTATTTTAATTTCTTAATTTTGTAATTCTTTATTATTCAATGTCTTTTAAGTCTGCTTTGTAGCGTTGAACATACAATACAAGGTGTGTAGAAATGGTATGCCCAATTAATGTATTTGCATTTTTGATCATTCGGAAACTGTAACTTAATGGTCGTTTTTGTGTACTCTAGTACTATTATTTTTTCCAGTATTTTTTGCTGCTTTTTAGAACAAGACTTAGAAGCCAATAAAACTTTGTTGGTAACTTTTTTAAACAATATTATACTTCCCCGTAAGTATTTTAGCACGCTTTGATTTACGTAGAATCCAGCACAGGACACGAGTACAGAATATAAATGAATATTGGAATAATATCTAACGGTATGTAATACCGTTTAAAATAAATAAATAAAACTAAAACGTCCTTGCTCTTTAAAATCAAAACATTATAATAGTATTGTCAACACACATTGCTTAGATAGTAACCAAAATTAACAATAGTATGCCACATCTGATGCCAAATTGGCTTCCCCGGTCTCTTGATGACCAAAACCGAAATGAACCCAATATTATCTTGCATTTGTCGCCTGGCTTGGTTTTGGGATGGCTTTATCTAGATAACAAACATTTTATCGTGTGAGATTAAACGGTGGATAACATTTTCTGGTTCAGTGGGGTTCAAAGTCAAGGCTATCTTTTGTGTTAAGAGAATGCTGAATCATGTCGGATCAACATTTTGTGCGTAGTAATGTTGGGTTATAGGTTATGCATTTGATTACTGTAAAAAGAAATAAGTTTCGTTTTACGGTCTTTATCTACGGATTTCGAATTTTTGACGCTAATCTAATTTGACAAGATATACTGGGTGGTCCAATAGAAGAGAAATTGAAAATTAACCTATATGCTACGAGATCAATTTGCAGTCTTTAAGAGGATTAAACGGTTTTAAGCCGTATCTTAAAAAATACAAATTTCTCACTATTTTTCGCTTTTGTAAAAACGTTCTTAAGGCAATTTTTGTAAAAAATCGAATGAAATCCTTATTTTTTTGCCCTTGACGGTTGGACGGACCTATTTTACCTAAACTGCTTTGAAATAAATATCATTTATTTATTGGATAATAGGAAATCACCAAGTTAAAGTTTTGGTGAACCGAAATTAAACTCATTAAGTTGAAGTCACAAATAAATTACTCAACCGTAGGCAGTACAATGTTATATATTCAATTGCCGTATTTTCAACAATTGGTATTTCCTATGAAAACTATCCAATTTGGACAATGCTATAAGGGTGTTATTTATCATTTATCGACATACACTATATTGCGGCTA